CCCCCCCCCCCCCATTTGCCGGCTGCAGGGAGACAAATACATCAGCGGGGCTGCGAGAAGTCCCAGTCCCGGCCAAAGCGGCCCCCGATAATGGGATTTAAGGAAGCAAAGCCCTGAATCCTACACTCTGCTTGGGAAGGGCAGCATCGGGCCCCGCAGCCCCGCCCTGCTTCCGTGGGCATTGCGGGGCTTCGGGTCCTTCTAGAGGGGCTGTTGGTTCTGCAAGACTTAATCGTTGTTGTTTCTTCGGCCGGGCAGCATCCAAATTCGTTTATTTTGACGTGAAGCGCATCTCCAAGTCCCCCAAGGCTCAGTGACGGATTTTTCTGTATTACCTCGTTATCAGGCTTGGCTGACCTCTAACTTCTCTCAAAACACGACCAAGACAGACCTGCTGCTGCCCGGGCTGCCCCAGGGGGCTCTTTTTCCACTTATGTGATTTCCTTTGATATTATTTCTCTCCTTTCCATAGCCAAGGCTCAGACCTTCGCTGCTCCCTGCAGCACAGCCGTTATTCCCAGCCCGTATCACCGAGGTGAGGTGGCAGCCACTTCCCCAGACAGGGAGATGGGTGGGAATGGCAGTGCCAGGTGATGCCACATGCCCCCAATTCCCACTTCGGGGAGCACTGATGCCAAAAGCTTCTGTCCATCCCTGCAGCAACTCAGATGTTCACACACCTTTATTATGTGCTGGGATCTGAGTTTAGGACCTCGACTTTGGACTTGGAGTTCAACAACTTAATCTGCTGCTCTCTTTTCATTACTGATCCCATCCCACACGGACCTGAAGCCCACCAGGCAAGCTCATAACACCCAACTGATTAACTCTGACTTGGTGTAAGCTTTTCTTTACATACTGTTCTTCAGCAATCCGACATGAAAAGAGATGGATACACACACTTCCATGACTCAGAGGAGCGCAATGATTTCGAGCCATAAAGCACCAGGTGCACTTTTGAGACTCACCAAATCCAGCTCTCCTGGTTGCCATAAAAAACACATTAGCCAAAGGCTGATGCATGTGAAAGGCAATTATGCTCTGGCACATGGCAGCATGCACAGAACAGCCTGGTGACGGTGCCTACCGCACAAGGAAAAATATCCCTGTGAAAACAAGCCTGCTAAATCATTTCATTCTTCCCTCAATCCCCTGAAAATAGTAGGGAGGATTTTTTGGGGGATGGGGATCCATATGGGAAGGAATCACATTTCCCAAAAGTGGGCACACCGGTGCAAGACCATATGGCCAAATTCATATGGCTGTATAACCATAACCTGCGATGAGGTCTTGTAGTCCAGGTTTCCATGTTAGCATTTTGTTATCCCAAACGTGCCCAGGAAACTTATTATTTTTTCCTTCTTTCTGGATGTTCTTTTTACGTGGGAGTATCCAGCAGTCCTCATATAGAGATGAGGCTGGGACAAATCTTGTACAGGGTCAGTCCTGCAAATACTCACTGATGTCTATAGACCTGCCTGCAAATAAGTTTGTAGATACATTTTGCTCTTGGCTTCAGATAGGATGACGTCAGCTGGCAACTATAACACTGCTACTGCACAGGTTTAATTTCCTCTATTCCCATGTTGGGAAGGAGCTGAATAAACAGGGAAAAAGTCTGAAGTCTTCAGAGGGAGGTGAAGCATCTCACCGAAGGCCACGCAGAGCAGCAGAACCCAGCATCTTAACCCCATCCCCTTATCCAGCAAATGACAGCCAGGCAGAAAAGAGGCTGTGCAGCTGGTGGACATTTTATCATATGCAAACAAGTGAAAATAGTGAGGCAGGAAGCACTGGAACAGCCCAGGGCTGAAGATGCACAGTGGTCAATCTCAGCTCCAGTGCTCCAGCACATGGCTATGGGTGCCAATGCCCCACTGTGTCCCCAGCACATCACAGTGTCAGCCCACAGTCTGGCACTGCAGGGGGCAGTTCTTCATTTCTATAAAATAGGTGCACAATAGGTAAAAGGAACACACAAGAAATTCATCCCTGGCAGCTCCAGATCATTGTGAACATCCCCCATGCTTTTCTTTATGCCACCAAAAGAAATTGCTGTCCTAAGCTGAACAGAGGATGAGAGAGGGAAAGCTGTTAACATGCAGAAGCTGCACTGAGAGCTGCTGAAGGAAGACTGATGCTTCACATCTGGCTTTACACTTCTTGAAAAGACCTGATTTCTGCTCAGCATCACCCAGCCAACTGCATCCCAGTAACCTACAGTCTAAATGCCAACTTACAATTGCGTTAGAAGAGGGCAGAAAGTATCGGGGTAAAACATCTCACTGAAAATACATCACTTGGGTCCAGCAGGGCAATGGCTGAGCTGCAGCTGGGGATGGGGGTGGGATGAGGGTTAAATGTTCTTTGTCCCCAGGACCAGCCGCAGACTCAGGACCCTGCTGCAGTGCAGGCTGCGGGCTGCCGGCACCGCTCGCTGTGCAGAGATAAGCGTGCCATCTAGAGGAAATCCCCTTCATCGCCAGGACTGGCAGCTGAAAATTATCCAATAAAGGATAATTAACCTCTGGCTTTGGAGAAAATCCTCCAGCCTGCTCTGGGCTGCTTGCACAGGCACGCTGTGAGGGGCTGGTGATGTGCTGAAGTATCACAGCAAGTTCTCCAGGGCCACAACTGGGCTGTCCATTCTCCTGGCATGGGCATTTGGATGGAAAGGTGGAGAAGGAAATGTGTTCCTCCTGCACCCCATGTACATGCCTGCATCTGGGGGAGGTACAAAGTTGGCACATAACACAGTGTCTGTATCATATAACGTGCTCAGTGGCAGCCAGCAATGGTCCCAAACCCAAGAGTGAATGTGGCTTCTATGGGCACCCTTGCCATCAGCATCTCTGGATTTAGGAGGTGCAATGGGAATCTGTGGGGGCAGCAGTACCATGGGTCTTGCACCCTCCTATGGTCAGGGTCAGCCCCACCAAACACCTGTATCCCAAGCACACAAATCCATCCAGCCCTAAAGATAACTGAAAAACAGTGAGCTAGATCCGAGCATGGGAACAGATGCTTCTGCCCATTGGGAAGCTGTCTTATGTAAATGGGAAAAAAGTAAAAAAAAGGCAATTTTGCCTTGCAAAACATGTTCAGGGACAGAAAAGGAGCAGGGAAGGTCTCACATGAGGGAAAACTTATTCTGCAGGAAAAGCAGGTGTATGCTTATGCAAAAAGCACCTGGAGAGGAGCTGTGTGGCACTGAGTTGCTCGTGTGCGGTATCCTGCACCTTTCCTGCCTGCATTGCTCCTGACCTCCCAAGCATTGGTGTCCCCATGCAGAGAGAGATTTGGGTGTCCCCTGGCTTGAAGTGGGTACTCTGAGCACTGCGCCACGCTGGAAGCTCGTGCACTTCATAAGTCTTGTATTTCCCATCACTGCAGAGAGGAGCCTCGTCGTAATAAAAATCTGGGCTCCAATCCTACAAACACTTATGCCTGAGCTTAACTCTAAGCACGTGAGCCGTCAAAGGGGACCATTCATGTGCTTAAAATTTAAGCATGTGCTTAAGCGTCTGCAGGCCTGGAGTCCATCAGCGTAGGGATTTGTGCACTAAGCCCATATTCTGAGTCATTATCCTTTTCATGTCTTCTCCGGTATTTCAGAAGATGCTTCAAAGAGGAATTTTCAAGTTCTTCAATAAACTTTGCCTTCCCGAGCAGCCAGGATTCCTGCCTATTCTATGGGGCAATTCTCCTGCCCTGCATCCCCTCCCCCTGTCTGCGATAATCCGGTGCTATTTCATGCTTGGCCAGACAATTAAGCCCTCTTGCTGCTTGGCTCTGTCTTTGTTATGTATAATTGTTCCAAATAATTAGCCACTATTGCACGCTATTCTGAAACGACTTTGTATTGCAATTATACTTAGAGGGTGAGCATCAGTTGAGGGAGAATCCAAGCAGCAGACAGCCCAGAAAGAGAGGGCTGGGGGAGATGCTGCTTGGAGCCGCTCTGTGGCTATGGGATCTTGTCCAGGTGTCACCTGGCTGCCACCTCGTGGGTGCTGCCCACAGTACAGCAGATAGAGCCGTGCTCGCTGCCATCACCTCCATTGGGATGTGGCCAAGTGGATGGGTTGGATATCTCTGGACAAAGAAGGGAATGCACCGAAGCTTTGGGATGTGTTTGGGCTCTGGGAGCAGAATGTTCCCAAACTGTGTCTTTGGATATTTCACGGATGGTGGAACTTATGATTCCCAGTGAGGAAATGGGTCCAGCAGCCCTGTTTGCTAACCTGCAAATGTGGCTAAGTGCCAGATGGGATGCTCAGAAGTTACATCTCCACCTGAGGCATCTTTTTGAAAATCAAAGTGATGTGGTGCAACAGTGTCACCTTATTGTTACTCAATCTCTTGTCTCTCAAGCTGGGAATATCCGAGAGGGACATAACCAGAAACATGGGTTGGTCTGACCTGCGCTGGTAAATTAATTCCTCCAACATCATATGCTGTTTCTTTCCAGCCAGCAGAGCTGATGCAAATTGGAAATGAGCATTCCCAGGTGTGTACATAACCAGCTCAGGTGCACCCTTTCTCTGTGCAGCACCAAGGTACCACAGGCCAGGGCTGCTTGTTGGCTTTGGGTGTTACAGAGTTACTTCAACATGTGCATAAAAGTCCTATTGCAACGTTACAATTTCTTAGTCTCAATGACAAGACTGGGAAACAAATAGCCTTTGGTGCTCTCCCAAGAGGGGAGGTCCCCATTCCCAGCCTGGAGGCTGCATCCCACCTGCCGCTCTGAGTGAATCCCATCACCTCTGGTCTCGACTGTACCCCAAGCCTCTGTGACACCCTGCTGTTTCCCGATGAGGACAAATGCTAGAAGATGCCACACAAGGAGCATCCTCAGGTCCCATTGCCCAGCATGAGGCTGGTGAGGGGGAGCTCGGGGGCTCTGGAAGCCCCCCCGGAGCCGGTCGGGAGCGGCTTCCCAGGGATTTCCACTGGAGGTCAGTGTTGGCCCGAGCACGGGGGTTGTCACTCAGGGCCGCATCGTCCCTGTCCCGGGGTCGGCATTGATGGAGCCCCTGGATGCGTTTGCAGAGGGGTCCCGGGGTGGGACAGCAGCGACACACTGGCTGCGGGATGTGATCTGGTCATCGCGTCACACTTGTGGAGAGGCCGAGGTCAGGGTGGTGTTGGGTAGTGGTGTATAAGGGACCTAAATATGAGGGTGTAGAGGTGATGATGCAACCCCAGCCCCCCAAGACACAATGCTCAGCCAGCCCTGGTTTCCCTACACCGATTTGCTTTCATCAGCCAACAAAGCCCATCTCTGCTGCTTGCACTACACCCACCACCCATTGCTCATCACTGGTTGGATTTAAAGGCTCAGTCCTGACCTCCTCCTTTAAGGTGGAGAAACTGTTGGCCCTCTCCAAGTGATGTATTCACAAGGGACAAAGCATTGCATAAAATAAGGTCATTAATGTCTAAAATGTCCACCCCTGGGGTTGGCAGCATCCAGACAGAATCAGACACTACCGGAGGACCAACAAGTCCTTCACAAAATGTACTCCTATTACAATCCCAGCTAATGCCCTGTTTGTTTGCACCCAAGTGCTCCCTGGGCTGTTGGGATTTCAGAAAGGAAGACAAATCCTGGTTCCAAACATAAGAGACCCGAATCCAGCCCGATTTTCTAAGGGCTGCGATGGCCCTGATCACCAGACCAACCTCTCTGCCACCCTTGATCCCAAAGGATCACACTCATTCCACAATAGCAGAGAGCAAAGAAAGTTTTGCCTCTGGCTTTTTGTGTGGATTGGATGGGGATGGTTATGCATGTCATTACTTAATGTTCCCTGAACTCCCTAGATGTTGCTAAGTAAAGAGCAGAGGATTTCAAAGGAGACTCGGTTTCACAGCCCAAATCTGAGTGATAATTACTCCTGTTTCATTCAAATCCCTCTTTTTCACGAAACACATATACTGAAAAGATGCTCAAACAAGCGAAGGGCACAAGTATAAACTTTACAAAGCTTAAAACTACTCTGTCTCAGTACAGCTCATGCTTTACATGACACCTTAATCCTACTCATTTGCTAGATTCACCCCAACTGTAAACAAAGCTTTGAAATGAAAGCTTAAATCCTAGTTGGGATACATTAAGTTAACCAAGAAGACACTCTTAAGGCATTAGTGTAATGACAATCACAATATGAGTGCCAGAGGCTTGTGCATTGGGGGGATTAATTTCTGAAGGGAGAAGAAGAAAAGGGGTCTGGTCCCTGTACTTTGCAGCCTCTTTGGCTAACAGCCTGCAGCGAGGGTGGCTGTGTGCTGCTTGAGGGGTGCTGGGGCTGCCTGGCAGGGGGGCCTGGGGTGCTGGGGGGACCCACAGCTGGATGCTGCACCCCAACATCTGGGTATCTCAGCATCTGGGTGCTGCCCCCCAGCATCTGGACCACACACCAGCTCGGGATCATCCACTCTCCCCAAGCCATGTCTTTTTGCTACCACCTATGCAAGGCTCCAGTGGGACTGAGGAAGATCAGGCTCAGCACAGCATCAGGTTTCCAAGCACCAAGTCTGGAGAACTGCAGCACCACCTGCCCACCCCACCACCATTTTCATTTTGCACAGCACCTGACTCTCCCCTAGGAACCCCCTTGTGCACTGCCAGCCTGCAGCCCCCAGCCTGGAGAAAAGCAGCTGCTTCTCTCCCCTTCCACACCAACCTCACATTCAATTCTTACAGCACACATGGGATAAAGGAATGAAGAGGGACAAGTGAGAGCTCCCAACACAGGGACACAATCCAGCAGTGGGGAACACATGCCTCACTGCCTGGCTGGACACTGGGGACAGTCCTACAAATAAACAGCACCAGGCTGGGCAGTGAGTGCACTAGGTTTTAATTGATGCTGTGCAAAGGGAGGAAAGCTCTGATCTCCTAACTTGGGGTGCTAAATAGGAGTATCACCTGCAAGGGATTCCTGCTGTGCCAATGGAAAGGTACACCCTGCAGCTCCCTGGTGATGAAGAGCTCAACTGCATCCTTCCCACAGCCCAGCAGCATTTAGCTCCCATTCACTTTTATTAAAAAAAAAAAAAAAAACATAGTAAAATAGCTTTAAAAAGCATCACTAAAAGTACAAGTCCTGCAGCGGAGGCACAACAGCAGCACAATAACATGAGCAGAGGATTTCCTCTGGTTGGAGCAGGGGAATGGCAGCACTGGACAGGTTGGAAAGAAAAGCTTTATTTTAAAAAAGTCTTTTCTAACAGTGAAAGTCATTTTTCAAAATAGAAAAAAGAAGTAGGCAAGGTGTTTTGTTTTGTTTCGTTTCCTATGAGGGAATAAGAGGATAAACACCTTAATTATTCTTTTAAAATTAGTTTAGTGGGGTTTTTTGGTGATTCATTCCAGTGATGAATGAGCACCCAGGGAAAAGAAGAAAGCCCTTTTTTGGACCATTCCTTGCTTTTGGGGTTCCTGCCCATTGCACCATGCGAGCATTGCCTCCAGGACGAACCTCCTCTCCAATTAAACACAGCTGGGAAAGAAGAGTCAGATTTTGGCCCCCTTCACCATGCACACGGGATTGTGTCTGCACACAACCAAAGAGCAGGAACCTCATCCCACCCACTCAATCCCCACTATGGGGGCATGCTCATCCATGGGATCCTTAGAGCATCCATCCTCAGTCCCATCACATGTATCGCTCCAGGCCGGTGCTGAAGTTGGGCTGCCTGCCATAGGCATTGCCGGAGCTGAACTGGCCGAGGGGAGAAGCGGGGAGACCCAGCAGCTGCTCATTGTGCTCAGGACAGGCAGTGGGGCGCACAGTGGGCAGCGCCAGTCTGCTGGGAGCCCCGTAGAGCTGTGGGCTGCCAGGTGAGTAGCTGCCCTGCCCTACGGGTAGATGGGGCGGTGAGGCAGCATAGGGGTATGCCAAAGCATTGGGGCCAGCTCGGCTCAGCAAACCAGGGCTGACGGGCTGAGGCTGGAAGCAGGGAGGCTCCGAGGTGCTGGCGGAGCAGCTAGGGGCTAGTTCAGTCCCAGTTAAGCCCAGAGAGGGGTGGGCCAGCTCGGCAGGTGGCGAGGGCTGCAGGGCCTGCTGCCCGCTGATCAGGCTGTCAATGCTGAACATCCGCGAGTGCTGCGCCGGCGGTGCCACCCCGGTTGCGTAGGGGTGGAAAACGGTGCCCGAGAGCTGCGGGCTGTAGGCGGGCGAGCAGAGGGCATTTGGGTAGGGGGCGGCGGGGGCCACCGGGCGAACGGCAGGCGGTGGGGTGAAGGCACTGGAGTTCTGCATATAGCCGGGGTAGGTGGTGATGTCGGTGCGCTTGAAGCGTTTCCTCCGGCGCAGGAAGCTGCCGTTGTCGAACATGTCCTCGGCGGCAGGGTCCAGCGTCCAGTAGTTGCCTTTCCCGGGGTGGCCGGGCTCACGGGGGATCTTGACGAAGCAATCGTTGAGGGTGAGGTTGTGGCGGATGCTGTTCTGCCACTTTTTGGGGTTCTCCCGGTAAAAAGGGAAGCGCTCGGTGATGAACTTATAGATGCCCCCCAAAGTGAGCTTCCTCTCGGCGGCGTTGGCGATGGCCATGGCGATGAGGGCGATGTAGGAGTAAGGCGGTTTGCCCCGCTGCACCGGCCGTTTCCTCCGGCGGCCCCCGGCGGGAGGCGGCAGCTCCTCGGGAGGCGGAGGAGGAGGCAGCGGAGAGCTGCTCCCGGCACCTCGCGGCTCCGGCTTCACCTGGGCGGCGGAGGGGGACCCCCGGGGGGGCCCGGGGGAGCCGGGGCTGGCCGAGGCGGCGGGGCCGGCGGCCGGCAGCGTGCACATGCCTCGCAGGCAGGGGAAGCCGGCCGCGTTCATATACGGCCGGAGGGGTAGGGGTAAAGCGGGGGGGGCGGAAGGAGTAAAAGCCCCCCGCCCAAGGGGGAAGGGAGAGGGAGGGGAAGGGAAAAGGGGGATGAGCGCAGCGGCAGCACCCGGCTATGGGGAACAGGGCCCCGAGCTGCTTTGTAATATATAGGGCGGCCGCCCCCCCAACCCACCCCGAGGGGCGTGCGGAGCCCGGCCCCTCTCCCCGGGGGCCGCGGGGGGGAGGCCGCCGAGGATGGGACCGTTCTCCCACGGGTAAATCCCCCGGCCTCTCTCTGGGGTTTTCTTTGGCAGCGGTGCCCCCAGGGGAAATCCGCTCCTGAGCAGGCTGGGTGATTTTCCGGGGCGCTCTCTTGGCTTTTAATTCATTTTTCCTCCGAGGAAAAGATAACAAAACCAAACGAGTCCCGTCGACCAAAGTAAGGCGAGTTTCATCCCACAGCCGGCCCCCATCCCAAGGGCAGGTAAGCCACTCCCAGAACCCTCGCACTGCTTAGATTTCGTTTTGTTTCTCCCTGGGAAAATCGCTCGATCCGGGCCGGGACACAGCGGCAGTGAGAGCTGGTGTTTCTCCGCTCAGTGAGAACCCCGGTTTAATTCCTCTGCAGTGTCCTGGTGAGAGCTCCTAGGTAAGGAAACCAGACGAGGATTTTTCATCTTCCCCCTGAGAGTGTGGGAAGGGATGCACACAGCTCAGGGCTGCCTGGCAGAGATGGGGTGTATAGGTGCAGGGGGTCTTCTCCATCACTGTACATGGCCAGGGCTGAAGGTGTGCACCACACTCAGAAAGCTTTGTTGGGTTTCAGGGAAAACACTTGGAACTTTTCATGTCACACCCTATACTCCAAAGCTGATGGCCAGCCCTGCCAGTACCACAACCGGGGGCTGCTAAATGGGCACCAAAAAGCCTTGGGCTTTCATGTCATCCTCATCTGCCACTGAGCATCTCCTCTGTGCCTCACACTCCATCTAAGGTAGGCTGGACAAAATGGGGGAATTTTACATCCATCTCACAGCTTGATATATAGCTACACATCCACATCCCATTAAGACAGGTGGAGATGTCTGAGCCATTAACGTGCTGACAGATCTCTCATATCCCATGAGCAGTAAAAAAAAAAACAATAAATCACAACCTTCAACTTGGCATGTTAGCTGGAAGTATTTCCAATAGCAGAGCAGCTAAAAGCCCTTTTTCACAGCTTTTCCAAAAAGATTCTCCATTCCTTTCCTTTAAGCATTTCCTGGTGGTTCTATTTTACATCCTAAGTTAGAATTCATCACCCAAGTTGTTTCTCACCCTCACTTGTTCTCTCACTTGTGCCTGTGTTTTTGTTCTCCTTTTATTTTCCATTCGTAGTTCACCTCCTGCTCTTTCCATGGTTCAGACAAGGAAATGTATGGTCCATTAGAGCCATGCTGGGTCCATTCCTAGTTGGCCACTGATCTTCTGGTAGTATCAGGTAAACTGCCTCCATGACCCTTCTGCCAAATGCAGACAACACCACAAGCAGGAAGAGCACTTGCTGTACATAAAAGTTCTTTCCTTATAGCTTTCTTCTGCTCAAATGGAAGACAGTTCTTCAGAGTGAGGGCAGCAAGTGAAAGCGTGGCATGGACCATTCATTCACCCCAGGAGAACCAGGGGAAAAGGACACAGATACATATTTTTCCAGGAGCATGTATTTAACTTTTGTGTCTGAATTATGGTAAATTACTCCCTGGGGGATGGAAACCTCCAGTTCTGCAGACTCAAACTGCTGAGATCAGTGACAAAGAGCAGTATGCATCTCGATACAGCAAGAAGCAGATTGAGAGGAAAAAGAGTTAAAAGGTACAAAGCTTTACTAAGCTTTTCTCATTTGGTCCCACAAGCAATCACATCACTCTTTTCCTCTTTATTTTAGTGGCCTAAACATCAGAAAGGGATTTGGAGGTGAGAATGCAACACCACGGCTGGGTCTGGAGCTACCTGCACCTGCAAAGGAAAAGCAATCTCATCTGGACAACAGGACGCAAAGACCCAACCCATAGGGGTGCTCATAGCCCAAGGCCCTGCTCTGATGTAATTGTATCCATCGTGGGAGAAGCCTCCCGTTGGACTTCAGTCTGATTCCAGCTGGTGTGGGGTCACCTGGGAGCTGCTGGGACTGTTCACACCACTCCCAGCCTCACAGCCTTGGGGCCCAGATGTCAGACTGATTTTGACAGATGGATAAAGCAGCAGGGCAGAGGTGGGCAGGAGCACACAGGCAGGAAACAGACCGAGTTGTAGCACTGAGCGAGGAAATCCAAAACGGACAGACACTAATTCCCACACATGCTTTATCACTCAGGGTGATACAGTGTAGTAATAAAGACGGCAACCACACAGATGGGATGAGTCTCTCTTTACAATGACACAATGCAGAGGGAGTAAAACACACCTGACTTTCTCTGTCAGCCACCCTGGGACAAGTTATGGGTATGGGAATGAGGAGCTCTCCAGTTCCTCTCCCACCAATTGCTGCAGCAAGCAGCCCAAAGCATCCCCCAGCATCTGAGCTAGGCTTCCTGGGGGATGCTGCCATGACACACAGCCTGGTACTGAAATACTTCAGCAACAACCAAACATAGGTGGGTTTCCTTTGCTGAAAGCTGGCCAGGTGGTACTGCCTTGATATAGAAGCAGGTGGACCCATCCCCACTCCCACCCTCATCACACTGCTGCCTGAATCCAGTCACGCTCTCAGCTGCCACGCAGAGAACTTTACAGAAGCTCCCATCACATCACAGCTCTTCTTTCTTCACAGGGAGTATAGGCAAAGTGTTTTCCCAGTGTTCCCCAGCTTGGTAAAATTGTCCAAAAAAACCCCCAAAAAACAACCCCTTATAAGCCACTCTTTACCTTTGTGGAGCTTTTCCCCAAGATGGCTATCTAAGATTTTTTTCCCAAAATTAAATTTGTGAAGTTATCATTCATTTCTGTGAAAATAATGATCCCAAAACTTTTTCTTTTTTCTTGCCTATTTACCAAAAAATACTGTTAAGTGAAGCATGAATTTACTTAAACTGAAGGGATATAGAAAAAGATTTAAGTTACTGAAAACCATGACTTCCAAGGGCAAAATTTGGTTCTGAGTTTTAGAGATTTGACTTCCATAAACTTCAGTACTTTCTTTATAAGGAAAACCTCAGGATCTGGTGGTCATCAATATTTAAGTTTACTTTTTTCCTGAAATAATTTATAAAAGTCTATTTTCTGCCCCATCCCCACATCCCACTTCCAAAACCTGAGCACAAGGCGAGGCCAAGCTGGTGGCTTAGCAATCCCTCCCAGTGCCTTTAACACACTGAGAAAAGCAAAGCCACAGTTATGCACAGGGTTAGTCAGGAACACATAGATATCAGTTCTCATAAAATAGTAAGTACTCTAACAAAAAAACTAAGAGGCCACTATGATTACTGCAATCATAGCACAGATCAGAGAAGTGTCTCTTGGTGAAGCTGCCCTAACAATGCACTGCTCAGAGCAGAGCACACCCATGTATTCCCTCTTGTTCATGAAGGATTCCAGCTACGTGGTCCACAGAAATGGTGAAGAAAGCATCACACAGCATGACTGGGAACAACCCCTACAAAGCAGACCTTTGCAAGGAACTCCAGAGTATCACTTAGAAACCATCCCTTCCCATTAGAGCCCTGATGCACACTGTCCAGGTTTCCTAGAGCAGGGAGATGGTTAAAACCTGTCATCCCGCAGGGTCATTCTGCAAAGCTCATACATGGAATTTTGGCATTTCCATCATGGAAACAGGCAACCAGGCTCATTACCTTCTCTCACCACCAGACTGATTAGCTGCAAGCCCAGGCAGACAGCTGAAATCCCATCTTGCTTGCTTCCTACTCACTCTCTTTTTCCTCTGTTTAATGCTCCTGCCAGGAGTGATTTCATTCACTCCAAACATAATGGCTTTTTCCCTCCCCTTAGGCCAGGAGCACACCTCTGTCATGGAGAATTTCCCTCTGTCTTGTACCTTCCACCCCATCTGCCTGCAGCCAGGCTGGCAGGTTGGTTTTTTTCACTCTGTTTAAAATGCTTTTGAAACAAAGGCTCTTTAATCCCCCTTGGCCTGGCCAGGCACCTCTGTCAGTCCCATCCTGATGGCGCAGGCAAAGGAAGGATCTCACATGGAGATGCTCATGAGGTGGTGGAATCAGGTCTGATGTTCCTCCCAAACCCACAGGCTTGCTTGGAGAGAGGTCTCTTAGACCCACATCCTAAAGCCTGGCAGGAGAAGAGACAAGGCCTGGAGCAGGACATCTGCCTCCACGTTCCCCAGCCCTTCTGCCCAAAGTGGGGACATCTTGTCATACATCTGTGCTGCTGGAGAAGTTGGTTTTCTGGAGAGGAGACAACCTGGCTTAGGTTGTAGAGACCTCATCTGGTTTTGGGAACATTCCACAGATGATGACTAAAACTTCATACAGAAAGAATTTTCAGGAAAAGGGTCTTCAGCCACAACAAGTCATTGCTCATCACATAATTTCCCCATGATAAGACAAGAGAGGCAATTCAAACTCAAATCAGACTGGACAACTGTGAATCACAGTGTTTGTCTCACATTCCTCCTAGCCAAAACTATCCCTGCCCAGTGCTGCTTGGGGCTGGGAGTATTGACCCAGAAACCTTTTCATGATTTTGGAGGTCCACAGAAACCCACTGAAGTCTTCTCCACTTCAGAAGCACTGTGGTCAGTGGGATCCTCCACCTGGGATGGGAACCTCCACATCTCAGCAGCACTGGATGCAGGGAGGCAGCTGACACCAGCACCAGATCCCATCAGAGTTGGGTACACAGGGAAAGCAGTTGTGGTTCATCCATCACTGCTTAGTTCTGGAGATCCCCACCCATCACTTTTGTTCCTGCCTCAGTGGATACAAACCCAGCTGCATCTTGGCTCGTCAGGATGTGGGATTTGCCTAATTGCTTCTGCTTGGATGAGTCCATGCCAGGCTTGGTCTATCTGTAAGAGAGGCTTGGATCTCCAACATCTCCTATTGGCTTTCCACTGTCATGCCTGCAGCTCCCAGAGCTGCTCCACAACCCACTGTTCCTGCTCACAGCCCTCACCCCACAGCACCGACACTCAGCTCACTGGTCTGCCCAACTTGTGTTAGGAAATCCCATAGGCCAACACGGAGCTGGCTTTGCCTTGTAGAGTCATAAAGACCCAAGGCTGGCAGTTGCTAATTGTTCTTCCACTGCTTGCTGTCTTCTTAAGGAGCTAGGGGCTGGATGTGGGCAGCCAACAAAAACCCAGGGGTTGGACAATAAATAGAGCAGCAGGGAAAGCTTTTCACCAGGCAGGTGGCCTTGCTGTAAGCATCCTGGCAGACAGGGGCTGGCCCCAGGGTTGCCAATCATGTTTCCATCACAGGTTTCTCAGACAGGCAAGGATTTGTTCACATTATTATTATTTATTTTTTTTTTTTCCTTGGACCATGGTTGAGAAGCTCTGATTGCAAAGCACAGTGTGAAAACCACAATCCTTGCACAACCCAGAAGGCAAAGAATGACCTAGCATTGCTCACGGCGGTGAAAAAGCAGACAGATGGGATGGATGCCCCATTTCTTTTTAAGCTAATCTCAAGAGTTTGGCTGCCTGAGAGAGAAGCCTGAAAAGCTTTGGGTCCATGATGGCCAGCTGCCAGGAGCACAGCCCAGAGTTGGCCAGAGCCCACAGAGAGGATGTCAGCACAGCCAGACTGTGGCCCTTGGCTGCTGGAGACACACTGTCATCTCTCCATCAAAAGGAGACCAAACAACTAACCAAACAGCAGCACACATCCTCCATCAGCAGGCACAGGCGCAGCAGACATCGAAGCCATTGCCAAATGCTCTTGTGGGCCACCAGCTGAGAGCTGGCATTGGGCTAATTACATCAAAATTCATTAAGTCAGTTACTGCCTGTGTTTCCCAAGGGGCTGAAGAGGGACTCCAGCAAGCACTGAGCAGGCTGCAGCAGTGCAGTGCCAGAAGGCTTTGCCTCTTTCAGTGGCCCAAGCAGGATACAGAGTCACCATTCCCCTCATATATTTGGGGATCTCCCTGACAAACCATTTGGGAAGCAGGATGGGAAAGAGTCTTAAGAATTAGGAAACCACTGGAGGGTGTTTTTCAGGTGGGATATCTTTGCTCAACAACACAGAATGCACCTGAGGAGCTGGCAGCTGCTGACCATTGCTAAACAGCATCACTTGGAGAGGAAGGATCAGAAACAAGAGGATAGTATGAGCTTATACCCAACACTCCCACCTCCCCTTGTGGAAAATACCCATAATTTGCCTTGGAGGTGCATGAACTCATTAACCTGCACAAAGGGACACACGGAGAGCATCACTAACAGATGCCAGCACCTTTGGCTGCACAGCTCTGAAATTCTGGGACCAGGGCTTTGAGATGCAGCAGAGCACTGCAGTGCACTGCCAACAGCCCACACCAACAGCCACAAACCAAAAGGCAGCAGCCACATCACCATTGGCCTGGGCTTCACGTGTCACTGATTGACTCAGGTTTTAATTACACCCGAATATCCCCCTGTCTCCTACAACACAAAGCTTTCAGCCAGGCAGAGATTCAGAAAGAGCAGCAGCAACCACAGCAGCCTAACCTTCAAGCCAGATGCTAACAGCTTTGGACAACTGTGGGATTTTTATACCCCTATCTGCAGGGAAATCTGATGTTTAGTGCCCTGACTGCAAGCAGGTCACCCTTAAACCCCTGAACATCCCAGGCAAAAAAAAAAAAAAAAAAAAAAAGAGAGAGAAAAAAAAAGGAAAAAAAGCAGTGCCGGAGGGGAATTGTACTGGCTCTAATCCCTTCTGCCATTCTGCATATTCATGGAACATTGTCATAACACATCAGCGGGACAAAAGGTCTGTCGGCACCTCCTCCTCATGCCTTTGATAAACCACGAGACAAATGCTGAGTAAACACTTGGAATCCATTCACTGCCCCATTCTCATCGGGATGAGAAAGTCCTCCTCTTTCTTGCAGGCCCAGAGCTGCTCAGCCTAATAAAGTACGGCCCACGGGCTGTGAAAAGAGAGGCCTATGGATGGTGAAAACATGGATTATCTCATTTCACCCTCCTTGTATCAGACCCTGCTCACATTTTGAGTGCACTTGGGCTGACACACTGAAAAAAAATAATAAAAAATTTATATAAAAAAAAAAAAAGCCAGGGGGAAGAGGATATTTAGAGAACGGGAGAACTGTCTGTAACATTTCACAGATGACCTTTCCCTAGTGGGAAAGTGATTTGTTTCTGCCCCGTGACCCACACCAGCCATCACCAGGAGCTTTCACATCAACATCAGCATTTCTCTAAATGTTGTGGTGCCAGAAAACAGCACAAACTGAGCTCATTTCAAGGTGTCAAACCCTGAGAAGTTCACAGGGCATTGCCAAACACTGAGGTTGAGGCATAAGATGTCCCATGCTCAGAACCAACCAGCTCCATATCTACAGGAGTGTGGAAGAAGCCAGCCAGGACATAGAAATCATTAAGACTGGAAAAGACCTCTAAGATCATCCCATCCAACCATCCATTTTCCACCAAGGTTACCTACTAACCACGTCCCTAAAACGGAGCATGGAGCAGAACATCTCCTTCCACTACTGTCCCCACCCCACACGCAAGCAGGGGAAACACAACTGCTTCTCCACATCACCAATACCTTCCCCAAATCAGCAAAACAGTGCTCCTTACCATTGGGTGACTTCCACAAAGTTGCTCAGGACGCCAGCTGCCAAAATCTCCACTGCGTGTTTCCAACACCTACAGCAACAGCCTCTGCTGCCCATATTTCTGGAGGCTTGAGCTAAAAGGGCCTGCAATAAAACAAACAAACAAAAACTTTAATGACTCCAAACAGGGTAAGGAACTGGCTGTTTGAAAGCAGTCATCTGAAAGAGATATTTTCCAAGTAAATACCATCCTTTATTTGGAAGAATACGAGTGGTTCTCGAAATGAAAATTATCTTCAGAGATAGTAGATGGGGAATGAGCACCAGCAACGCAAATATGCCCATAATAGAAAACAAGAAATGATTCTGAATTGCTGTCAAATGATTAAGAAACAATAAAAGCGCAGCTGATTAATGAGGGCCTCTTCTTTTTTAAATAAGTGGCTTGTAAACCTGTCCACTCATTGAAGGATGAGGGAATTGGCTGTAAGCAGCACATTCAATGCTTTTGTTTCTGCAGAACACTCAAGTCCATTGGTCTTTCAAACAATTGACAAAAAAAAAAAAAAAAGACCACCGGCAGCAACTCTCCCTGCTCTCCCTTGGCCTGGCACACCGCTGGTGAATGTTCCAATTCAACCGTTTTACAGCGTGTTTGTCACCAAGCATCACAGAGCGGCAGCGAGGCGCTGGCTGGGAGCAGCATCGGACACCGCAGGCAGCGCGGCTGCCATCGCTGAGCAACAGTAATGCAAAAGCAAAGCACGGGGCTCGCAGGGCTTCCAGGAAGCTGTTTGCTTTGCTGCCCAAAGCAACTTCCAGCAAGCCCATTTTTGCACGTGTAACAGCCCCAGTGCCCAGCCCCAGTGACCCTGACACCCTCATCCCACCTGTATATACTAGTCTGATGCAGTGATTTCCTTTGCCAGATAATGCTTTCTTTCCCAATGGCTGCATTTAGATAGAAAAGAAAAAAAAAAAAATCACATATATTTTAAATCACCAGTGCTGCTATGCCCAGATCCTCTGAGATTACTTAAGCACATAACTCTCGTTCACTTCCAAATGATCTCAATCGTCTTTGGGATGTGAGCCTCAGAGCTCAGCATTTGGCGTTTCTCACAGACAGGAGGCTCCGGACAGCTTCCCTGTCTGCCCAGCCAGGGCCCCAGCCTGCAGGGCTTTGGGGCTGGGAATTCAACCACGCTGGTCATAAACACAAGGTTTGGGCATGCAGAAATAGCGCCTAATCTTTTTTTTTTCCCCTGTGATCTACCATTGGCAGCTGCTGCTGTGCATCCCCAACCAGCCAGCAAGTCAACTGGGGTCTTTCCTAACTTTAGCTGCCCCAAGGGTGGGGGACCTCACAACTCCCGTTCCTTAAACCAGCAGCACTGCATCCCAGTCTGCCTATGCCATCTCCAAGGTGCCTTTTGGAAGGGTCACGGTTTGGCCCTGAAGATCAATGGGGATTTCTTCCTCCGTCCATCGAGGTAGGCTTGATGGGTTGGCAGTTGGACTAGATGATTTCAGTGGTCTTTTCCAACCTTAATGATTCTGTGATTTGGTACAGGCACATCCTGTCAGCAGCACTGGGGTCAGAGCACAAAGCCAAGCCTTACACTGACAACGTTCCTCTGAATACCCAATAAGTAACTGGGGGATCTACTAAGAGGGCTTGTCAAAATCAATCGGGGTTAAACACCTTTAGCTGCAATAACAACTATCTGACCCTCTGCTACAGAAACTGCTGCTCAGAGGGACCCTGGGGGGTTATTCCTGGATTCTCAGTACTGTGGGACAGATAAAAGAGCAGACTATGCAGAGCTGGGTAATCCATTCAGCCCAGCATGGCCGTGCACTGAAGTGACAGCTCCTGGCATTTCTGCAGAGCTGGCTCCTCCTGGGAATTCTGTGCAGAGGGGACAATTTGTCCATCCAAACCTGGGCAAGCAGTTTTCTTAAATTCAATTGCCTGAAGGAGAAGGCAAATAACATTTAAGCGGAGGAAAGGGCATTAAAACCACATCTTTGATACAATGGCTGATGCAGCCCACGCTGCCGACGCCTGAAATGATAATATTTTTTTTCTTAAATAAATAGTTCAGCAGCACAATCCCAGCCCCGCCAGCATGGGGAAGCCGCAGGGGCTGCTGTTAAACCGCTGCACGCCAGGCTCAGTGCCCAGGCTGGGATGGCTAAGCATGGACATACAGACAGACAGCAGTGTCTATGCTGTACTGAGCTCACAGACATCACTTATGGGTTGAGTTGGCCATCAGCTCCAAGGAGGGAGTCTGAGAAGGGGAAGACGAGCAAGGTGGGGGCAGAAAGAGAAATAAACACTCAGGATTCGAGGTACACACACAGACAACTTTGCAAGGAGGAACAGACTAAGCACAACTTTCTTCAGCACCAGGAAGGGCTGCCACCTGGGAGGATGTCACACCACAGACACCTGCACTGTCAACACCAGTTAGCTCAGCACACGGTTTTCAACATTTCCACTTCTAATTTTCCTATCCTTGCAGCCCAGCACGATGCCTCCTCTGCTGGAGCATAGCAATAGCCACCTCCCCATGCACTTCACAGAGAGAACCATCCCCATGGATCCTCTAGTATCTAGCACAAGTCACACATTTAGGCATAAATGTCCGTAAAGGTTGAGTGGTAGCAAAGATCAACCCAAAGAGCAGATGAAGAAGACCTGGCCTCAGCAGGGACAAAGGGAGAAGTAACATTTGCTTCTACACCTTCACCTGGGCTCACTTTTATCCAAAAATAGCAAACACACAAAAGGAAATTCAGACTGTGTGGCTCCACTCCATCTCTACCCTAAGGAGCCCAATTTCTAAAGAAAGTCTCTGACTGTCATCGGCCAAGGGGTGCATTGTCCCTTGGAGCAGGAGCTGGTGCCACTGAGGAGGCATTCAGTCTAAATTAACTCTCCCTCTAATACCTGAGCAAACATTTTCAGCTTGAGACTTAATATCCCTGGACATGTCTGCTGTCTCCCAGGTGAATCCCCAGATAAAAAAAAGGTCAGCCTGGCTCTAATGCGGCTGTAAAGGGCTGTCAGTCAGCCTCGGAGCTCTGCTTGCAAGGTCAAATGAGTTCTGAAGGTTGCTGGGGCCAGACCTGCCCTGTCACTCATTTTAAGTGCAGTGAAGGTTTGTTTTCTCTTTACAATGTCAGGTATCCCAAATTTAGGATTAGCTGTCAGCCACCACAACATCGTTGTTTCAAAAGAAATGAAAAAATAAACACGTGCAAGCACACATCTCCAACCTCAGCTAATTCCACATGCTGAGCTTGCCTGCAGGTGGGTGGCAAGGAAACTCGTCCTTCAGGAAAGGAGAGCAGGGACAGTCCCCCACACACACAGCAACCCCAAAAACACCTTCCTTCAGACATGCTTGAACGATGGCATCTCCATCAAACCATCCACCATTGAAAAGGTGTCCATAGAACCAGGGCATCCTCTGTCTGACTCTGCCTCGGTGCCATGGCAGCATCCCTAGTGCCATGTATGGTATAAGTGGATCATCATCTTCAAACCCCACTGCCTCCACCACAAGGTCACTTGAGATTGTGCCTCCTGTACTTAGCCAGGCTGGATTAGGGGAACTGCCCACCTGAGTCCTAGTTGCTCTTAGGAGCTGATGGCACTGGGTGGTGACAGAAAGCATCCTGCAACCACCTAGGCAATGCTTACAGATTAAAAGCATCCTCACTTGCAGACCATCTCTAGATTTTGCTCATATTTGTGACTGTATGAAGTCTTAGCTTCCAAAGTAAAATCATTAAGAAATTTCCTGCAACTCCATTTTTCCTGCTGCATCTCCAGTAGTTTTTATCCTGCAGCATTGGTTATTCAGCTAACTGCACAGCCTGATAGAAGTCACAACTGCACAGCATAGGGGATGGCCAACTGCAGCATAGCTGGAAGCAGCTGGGCCAGGAATGGTTTCAGTTTGTTGTTTTTATCCAGCCAATCAAGTGAATCATCTATGTACTTAAAAACAAAAAAACTGAGCTGACACCATCTGCTATCCATCCTGGAGCAAAACTTCCCAAGTGATATCTCCCAGAAAGAAACAACACAATCCTATCGAACACCAAGGGTGACAATCCCTCATGCACAAGACTACAGCCTTTCCCCAGGCAGCTTCTGCTCCACGTTGCCCATCACAGGAACATTCCACAGTGGGTTAATAATATCCAAAACCATCCCTCCCCTCAAATTTCGAAGCAAATCAATCATTTCCAAACAAAGAAACAAGACACTGCCCTCAAACATCCACAGTATTTCAAATTCAACTTTGTTTCAACATTCCCAGAACAGTGTTTTTCCAACAATTAAACCATTCATCTTTTTCATATCCACTCAGGACCCTATTTCGATACAGCATTCATCTCCCTGCTTTCAAAGCCAAGGCGCAAGCGGGCATTTCTTTTTCCTCCTCCTTCAAGACAAAAGTCACAGCATTTGCTGCAGCTTCCCACCCAAGCTATGAATGCATTCATTCCCTCACATTGCAACTCAGCTCTCAGTTTCATCCCATGACATCGTGCTATCGATAGCCTAAAATAGGATCCATCCGCTCCTAATTTTTAAGTTAGATTATTCTTGAAGCCTACAGGCAATAATCTGCCAGGCACTGGGCTGGACACACACCTTTCTCTGGCTTGTCAATGGACACCCCCCCCAACACCACTCTTCCAGCAGAGCCTCTTCTCATTCCTACAGCAGGTAGGTGTGCTTCCCCTTCACTTTTCCTTACGAGTTTCAGCAGAACCAAAATCCCAGCAAACTCGCTGGAGCTCATCTTGATACACTGGAGTCATAGAAAAAAATTGGCCAAAGACCAGATCCCTTCTATTTCCTAAACGATGTCATCCCCATCCTCGAGTGTAGCATAATGCATGTTTTCACCACTATCAACAAACACAACAAACGATGCAATGCAAACAGTTCACAGTTCAGAGCCCACATCCCTCCCTCCTGCCTGCTGGAATCCCGAGATGGCCAACAGCTATTAAACACATGAATGTAAATGTTAGTAGATTGCTTCTAATAGGAAACAAAAATGTTTTGAGCAGAGCTAATTGCTGGGAAATAAGGTCGTTCCAATATTTCAGCGGGGGGTTATAAATCTCTTGGTTCCTGCCTCCTCCCAGTGTTAAGGTTTTACAGATGTTGCTGTCAGGAGGAGAGGAATGATTTCAGATGCTTGTTTCCACTACACGTTAAAAAAATAATAATAGCATGCACGCAGTAAACTGAATGGTGAATTTTCTATGAGAAAAGTTCTCAAATCTCAGCACGTAAATTATATTAAAAAAAATCTACATTGGGGCTCCTAAAACTTTATAATGGTACAAACTGCTCAACATACTTTAAAACGTTAAGTCAGACTTCAAAACATAATTCATCTTGCCCAGTTGCACTGATTCAACAAAAGGCATCTTCCAACTCTCTGCTTCTTCTCAAGCAGCGAAACTGCTCTGCTCATCTGGGCTTTCTCCCTGGCAAACAGGGAAGCACAGAGAGGGCAAAAGGCAACAGAACCATGCCAGGCAGGGTTAGTCCCTGTGGGAAGGTGCCCGTCTTTCTAAGGCACCACACATGCTCTGAGCACACCTAACACAAGCCAAAGGCCAGGACATCAAGCAAGAAGCACTTGGGCTGCTTTGTTGTTTCAGCCAGCAGAAGCTGTGCCTCCCTGCTGAGCTGCCTGGAACCAGCTCTGAAGATGATATTTCAGATTTACACTATTTTCCTTCAAGCTCAGAGACCACTGCTGAGCTATCCCTGCTTTTGCTACCATCCAAACCCAAAACCAAGGAGGGGAGCACCTCATTCAGCTCCCTTTGCACTCTCAGGATCCTACCATGATGGCATTACATCTTGGATCCGATTTCCATAAACCCCACATGGCACACCTGAAAAATAACCCAAGCCATAAATGATCAGCTGGGACAGAGAGCTGATGGCCAGCACCTCTCTTGTAGAGGGAATCAACAGACGGAACCAAGTCTTTCTCAGAAACCATATGGTCACATATGAAGAACAGGTTCATATCCATCTTCAATCTACCACTATACATACATGGTCCAACAATGATGATGAGGAGGAGGCAGCTGTGCTCCTCAACACCTACTGTGCTCTGCAGGACACCAAGCAAGGCTGCAGCTCAGCCAGCCAGACCTAGGACTGGTGGCTCCATTAGGAGAAGACAAAGATATGAAAATGTCAGATGATCCCATTCAATAGCAGGTACCAGCACACCATCCCCATGGGCAGGTCACCCGAGGAACCCAAACCCCACCAGCAAGCCTCACCATGTAGGGCTTGGTGCCAGCTCGTTGTGCAGCTGCCAGGTGCCCATTTGGAGCTGGCTTCCCAGCCCTAAATACCAGCCCCAGCCACGCAGTCCCCACAGCATGCTGTGTTCTTCCAGTGGCTGTGCCAAGACAAGCTGACGTGAGGCTCCTCCATCAGCAGTTTGTTGGGCTCCTGGGGCCCATGAAAGCCCAGATTAGACTTTACAGCTGACTCGAGTGCACGAGCAACCGGGATCTGTGAGGGCCACAAGCAACTGCAGAGTGATTTAGGAGATGGGCCCTTGAAGCTGCCAATTATTTATCTAGTTGATGACTCAGAGCAGCAGTTTTACTGGCCAAATCTTGGGGGAAAACATGTGGAACTAATCAGGCCACACCGAAAAAAGATCAAATTAATATAAAGTAAACTGAGCAACGCACATGATAGCAAACTTGATTTTTCCTTACAAACAGGCATCATGTCCAAGATGCTTTTGTTATTTATTGCTTGTGTTGCTTTTAGAAGGCAAAACATGACAGCAGAAGTAATTTCTGCAAGTACAACGCAACCATCTCCTCACAAAGAAAGGCAATGGTTGCTTATTCAGCAGGTCCCTCCTATCCAGGACATTACAGTCACTAAAAATAGCAATAAACTGATACACTTTTGTGATTACCTTAGGAATACACACATTCCCATATTAAACCAATGGATACACACACGTATTGATGAGCAGGTTTCCAACTCACACATACTGTGAGTTGCTGCCTGATAAAAAAATGCTGAAGATGAGACAAAGTTCTTTGGCAGTTTCAGGTTAACAGCAAAGATTTGCTGCTCTGCCCTACCTGGACAAACAGATTTTCTGGATGACCAGCCCAGGTTACCTCTGATCAGTGTCACGCACTGGTGGTTCTCTCTCTTCTCAAGTCACCAGGTATTGTCTGGAGCCAGACTGGCCCCTTCCTCATTCTCATCAAAATACTGATCAAGTGTCATTACTGGAGCCATGCACTTCAAGCACGCTTTGGTGATTGACCCCTCCCCCCCACTCTGGAACTTGCCCTTCCTGTTGGCAGCTTCTTCTCCACTACCACCCTTTGATCAGTTTATTTAAAGATGCCCCCATCAAGTGGATCATGCTTTGCGGCCTAAGAGATGACCACAGCTCAACAAGTACAAGTGCCAGCTGCAAGAATTTGTTCCAGAAGGATCACACACCTGCATCTAACCACTGCATCAATCCCATTCTCTCCAGACACATCACAGCTGGTCCACCCCAAGAGCTGATGGATTTTCATTCTTTATGATGAGTATTTCACACAGTTTCACCATTGTGTTTTCCATCAAGAAGCCAGCACCCACCATCACCCAGCCCAAGCAGTGCCCTTGCCCAAAGGGGGATCTGCAGTCACCCCAGTGCCCATCATTCCTCCCCTCCAACCAAAGGGCACCCATTTGGGGACCACCATGGCCTCACAGGCGTGTTCACAGCCCTACAGGCTTTGCTTTATCCCTATTTCACGGGCAATGTGCCTCCACCTGAATCCCAAGGCAAAGGAGACCAGGCAAATAGTAAAGAATGAGAGAGAGCACACCTTAAAACACAGCCATGACCTCATGCAGATTCCTAGAGACTTTTTGCTTTTATTAAGCAAGAGAGACAAGTGGCATTCCAGCCGACTTAAAAGATTGAGCAGCACGATGACAGCTCCCATTTCAGAAGAGAAAAGCAGAGAGAAAGGGGATTTGGGTCCAGACTAAACTGCCTGGTGGCAGGCACCCATCAGCAAGCACCTAGAGGCCACATGAGGGAGGCAGCTCCTTTAAATAATAGAACAGCTTGGGGTTCTCTTCACCTTCATAAAGATATGTTTTATGTTTTGGCTTTGTGGATGGTAACATCACACCTGGGGATGTGGGGGCTGCCTGCAGTGTTACCCCTAGAGGAGCCATTTTGGGGGCTGCCAGTGTCTACAAGGCTCAGATGGGGTCGCATGTCCTCATGGATGCTCACCCCCTACAACACAAAGCCCAGTCAGCTCCATGTGTACACACGTGCCACAGGCACAAAGACCACAGGGGACATTTTTCTAAGTGAGTGGAGCTAGCGTTTCTTTAAGGCTTGTCATACTGGAACTAGAGGGTTTGGGGATGGGTTTTGTATTGCTCTCCCCACTAAACATACACAAGCTGCCTCATTTAAATAAAACTCCCAAGACTGAGAGATGTCAAAGATCTGAGCCTGAGTCCACTGCAGGTTTTGTACTGTCACAATCCAAATCCACAACAAAACGTAAAGAATTCAGCCGTGTGTTGTTGGCACTGCTCAGAGACTCCCAGCACATTGCCCCAAACAGCCCAGCCAAGACAGTCCAACAGCACCAACATCCTCACCTACAAGCAAAGCAACACAGCAATAACCAAACCCAGAGCTCTTACCTCTGCTCCTTCCATAGTTCCCACCGCAGGGACTGCAAAAATGGCATCTCTCCTTCTGTAGGGCCCCGAACTCACCACAGAGCCCTGAGCACCTGGGCTGTGTGCCCAGATGGAACTAATTACAGCAATCAATCAGTAGCTGGTCAGCATTACCCTTGCATTTGCAACAAGGACTGCCACCTGTGGGGTTTTGCCAAGGACCTCACTCTTTTTTGCATCCTTCATTTCCTTAGCTGTTTGTGGGGCTCTCCCTACTTTTACCCCTTTCTTTTCTCAATTTTTGGGGGACTATGATCAGACGGGGACAGCAGGATAGATAACACAAGAGTTCATTAATGACTTGTGATAGAAAGGTGACAACAAAGTTAATTAAGGCTCTTAATATGCCTCCTGTCTACTGTGGTTAGCTGCTGCATTGCCTCTGTGTGTACTCAGATGGCAGGAACCTACCTGTTCTCTTCAAATCTCCCTTCCCCAGAGGAATTTCTGTCGCTGTCAGCTGATGGATGAGTCATTTTTCAACTAATTTTCAAAACAAATGTTATCACCCTTTCTTCTTATAATTAAGGTCATTTGTGCCTTATTTTAATTAAATGATGTTCTTATTAACTTTTCAAAACATGTTATCTGAAGCATAATTAATTGGTCTTTGTGTCCATCTCTGCTGCAGACCAAAGTACTGACAGATGCCACATCCCAGAAGGGGAAGCACTCCCAAATAGTTTCTGGTTTTCAGACTGCCTGCAGATTCCTCCTCTGTTCCTGTCCAGCACCATGGGTTTGTATGGAACAAAATGAGCTGTCCCCAGTCCTGTGCTAAGCAGGCCATTCAGGAAGCATGGGTCCATTATTGTTCCTTGCTGAAGGATAGCCAGGTAGTATTGCATCTTTGTAGCTATGGCTGAAGGAGTAAAATAGTCTATACAGTAGAATCATAGAATGGTTGGGAGGGACAGCGAAGAGCATCCAGTTCCAACCTCTGTTGTAGGCTGGCTGCCCCCCACCAGATCAGGCTGCCCCGGACTCCATCCAACTTGGCCTTAGGCACCTCCAGGAATGGGGCACCCACAACTTCTCTGTGTGTTGAGGTTCTTAACCATGTAGCTACAGACATTTTCCTCTAAAATTGCCCTGTAAACTGGATTTGGATGCTTAGTGCTTGGCTTTCCCTAGCAGTATCACCTGTAGTTCTTATTCCCTTGCCATCCCAGGGCAGAACTCAATTCTGAGGCTCTCTGGGATGCAGAGACCAGGAACACAACCCTGGAGGTGATTAAGGTCAGGTTGGGTGGGGCCCTGGGCAGCTGGGGGGGCAATCAGCCCACAGCAGGGGGTTGGACCTGGGAACAGAAAGATCTCCCCCAAGCCAGCCTTATAAAGTTACCTCATTGCTTCAGGATGAAGATGACAAAGCTATGATGAATGCGGTGGCACAGAACATCCACGCTAATTAAGTTGGCCCCATCTAGTTGTTCTCATTAGATAAAACTAAATAAACTGATGAAAAAAAGCAAAAAAAGCATAACATTCACTGCTGTCAAATTACCAACGCAGCAGATCCCAAAATAATAACAAAAGAAAAAAATCCCATAAAGAAACTAAGTTACACCACTGAAATGATAAACATGCTTTTTAAGTAAAAAAAAAAAAAAGTCTTTCAAACCACAGGAAACATTGCACAGCCTATGAGTGACACTTCCAATCTGCATCCTCCTCTGTGCGAACCTTGCACCCCTCCTTGTGGTACATGGAAGCAATTGCCTTGTGAGCACAAATCGTACTTCCAGGAGCCTGTGGGGCCATTTCCCAAAAAAGTGGAGCCAAAAACCCGAGCCAGCTTTTCACTTCTGACTCCAAACATTGTCTGCTCCACTCTGTGAATGTCTACAGGCTACAGACAGGAATGATTCTGCCTCTCACTAATAGTCAAATATAAGCACGTGTGTCAAACATAATTAAAGAGGAGAGTGTGGATGTGTGTGACACATTGGAACAGCTAAATTACTTGATCTTGATGTTTGCTTAAAGGTTACTTTTGAATGAAGGCTGCTTATAGGACAAATAACAGATGGTGAAAGCATCCTTCATGAATTTCTGCAGTTAGCAGAAAATCCTGGTACTTTTCTTAAAGAACATGAATTTGTGGGATGTCTTTTGCTGGAAGAAATCTGCTCTCACCAACAAGAACGTGTGGAGTTTCCTTGGATGCTGAAGTCACACCTAGTGAGCCAAGTGCAACACTTGCTTCAGGAGCAGCACTTCAAACTTGAGCTCTAGGTCACAAGGAAGTGGTAAAATGCATTTAGAAAATTTTAAATGAAAAAGAATACAGTAAAACTATTCCTGTTTCCAACAACAGAGGTATTTGGGTTAAAACGCACCACGGACACTGGGATATTTGGTGATTTCAGCTGGGTCTGGCTGCCACAGCAGTGGCAATGCCTGAAGCATTCACCTGAAAAGACAGCTCTGTGCTCAGCCAGGAAAGACCACCACCACACGTTACATCCTCCAAATACCTTAAGAGATTCTGGCAGTCCCTGAAGCTTCCATGGTAGATTAAGCTTCACTCCTAAGACTTGATCCAACTGACAAGTTATTCCTTTTTCACATCTCACAGGATTAAATGAAGAAGTGTGCTGAGGAGTTTAGCTTTGCACAAGCAGATCTGCTGCATAAGACACCATTTCCATGTACTGTCACATATCATTACACTTACCCTGACAGCTGACCAGCAATCGGGCAGCCTTTGCCATTTCTTACCATAAAGGAACTGCATTGTGCTAAAAAGCCCTCCAGAATCAAGCAGATAATATCTTTTGGGATGGTGCCTTGCTTTTTTTTTTTTGTTTGTTTGTTTCTCTCACTACAGCATGAAACTGACCCAAACCCTCCTATTTGAGAATAAGAAAGAAAAAGCACAACTCAAACTGGTATTTGGTTTAGGATTGAATGTTTTGCACAGTGCTTAAGGAGCATTTTAGACAAAAGCGAGCTTTCTGCCAAATATCTGTGGGGAAAGAGAACATTTCTCTTTTGCTGTCTGAATGCAGTTATAAACCAGGATGACAAAGAAGCCTGGCATTGCTGTTCACAGTGAAAAAAAAAAAAAAGCTGCGTATCTAGCTCTCCACAAGAATGGCTTCACTTGTCTTCATTCTGCCCAGCTTTGCTTCTACAGCTTTACCCTAAAGACAGATTCTCATCCCTGCAGCTCCTGGAATTCCAGGTGGAAATGACAACAAGGGAAGAGAAACAGCTTCAGGGCAGGGAAAGCATTTGTATGAATTTCTCTCCAGCATAATTGGGAAAAGATGAGCTAGGTTAAATACAAGCATCACTGCTGAATAGAATAGATAGATGTATATCTAAAGCTGAAGTCTGATTAGTGAAGCAGAATTGACTGAACTTCCATAAGCATCTTTACTCCCCTCCTCATTCATCTCACTCACTTCCACCAAGGCATAACAGGTCGCTGCTAGTTCAGTGCCTAGTGATTGAGATTTTCACATGCAATTGCTGCTAAGCTCTGTGCTAAAAGCCTGATAGACAGATCTGATCTCACTCACAGGAGAAAAGCACACAGGTACTACAAAGATTTCTTATAGTTTAAAAAAAAAAACAAACCCACAATGTGCTCAACAATGTCAGTTTTGTAGCAGATTAGGCACCTAGCTCACTGGTAGAAACAGTCGTAGGCTGAAGGTACATAAAGATTTTGCTTCTTTTGCAAGGAACAAAGATTGGTAAGAGCAACTCTTCACCATCCCAAAGAGAATCTGCAATTCAGAAAGGTAAGGAAAAGACATTAAAAGGCAAAAAGCAAAGAGGATAGAGAATACTTCAGCTGAGCAGATTAGCAGACTCAATAAAGACATCTATTGTTACCAACAGCAATACTCTACAGACCACAGGCTGAAAACCACCATCTTAAACTAAGCAATCCATGAAAAATAGCTGAGAGCAGCAGGATTAAATTCATCTATGCCACCATATCTGCACTGGAAGATTTGTAAAGGTCTGCAGATCAAAAGAGGGTGAGAGCTGCTGCTCTATGAAATCAAGTCTTAATATTTTTGTTGCTGTCTCCTTTGTTATCCGATTAGCTGAATCGTCTTTGCATCATCTTGCAGTTTTCACTCTCAGCTGTTACTCTTGGCATCTTCAGACTGTGGCGAGCACACAGCCCCAGGTGAGCAGTGTCCAAGCACTGCTGCAGCTCCAATAATCTGCTCTTCTCACCTAAACAGGCAGCCAACTGCACGGTCATAGATTGCAGCTTTCAAAGACATCTGCTTCAGAACAGGGAGTGAACTGGTGTTGAACTTAAAGTACAGTAGTAATTCACTAATCTGTAATGTAGGATCCTAACTGCTGGCAGCTTCAGAACTGCCAACAGAACTGCAGCCCAAATCTGAACTGAGGATCTTTCAACTTCACTCTCCCGTTCTCAGCCTGGGCAGTAGCACTTAGATTTCTCCTTCTAAGACACAGCATTTTACATAAGATCTCAGAACACCCTCGAGAAACCCTTTTAAAAATAAACGTTGCTTGTGGGGAATGTCTTACTCTGACACAATACTCAACCCCATGTGTCAGTTTTTCTCCATGCTGGTCTCTCCTCCTGCCCTCACACACCCACCAAACCAGCACTGTTCCGCCAGAGATTTTCAGTTCAAGTCTTCATGGGAGGGAAAAGCTTGCTGTAGGTCAAGCTAACGCAGCCTTGCCCCTTTCCTCTGCTCCCTCTGAGACTCCACACCCTCAGGTTTCAGCAAGTTTCTGAAAAGACATTTGCTTAACTTGTCTTACCAGAAGAAAGATACTTATACTGCTGGAAAATTCCCTGCTCTTCCCAGTCCCTTTCTGACCTGCTATGCAAATCTTTCCAGAATAAAGTTTTAACACCAACACGTTGTTTACTGAAAACCTACGTGTGAATAAATAGAGGTTTGTCATAAAGTGCCAGTCCTGCTTGCACTGATATCCAAAACAGCTCTGTTGCTCCTGAAGTAGAACCAAGACCAGTGTCCAATAGCAAGTCCTCAACCAACACATTTGATAAGTACTGTAAAATGAAGAAAAGCTCCCTTAAGCACACAATTTCCAGCACTACCACTGTGAAAATGTAAGAATAAATTTGACAAAACTATACAGGCAAGAAGATACCAATTCCACAGGCATTGGCCTGATCTTATCCATTGCCAAAAAAGGTCTTGAGGACTTCAGTTTTGATGGGGAAAGCTGAACTTCTGTAGACAGTGATCTGTATGTATGCATGCATGCATGCCAGATATATAAAGTGTACATATATATACACATACACACACAACTATATGAAAAATACCCCTTATGGCAGAGAACTGCAAGCCAAGCACTTATATTAAGCCACAGAACAAAGTTTATTGTATCTTCTCAAATTCTTTGTACAGTTTTGCTGCTAAATGGGCATGACACATTGGCATACTACCTTTAATCTTCATTTCAATGTTAACTCCAACTTGAAAGAACTGGTAACAATTAATGGCATCTTAAATAAATAAAATGACAAAAAAATATCTAGCCTTTGCACAGACACATTACAATCCACTCCAAATTCAATATTGCTGAAACATTATTTCTTAAAAAACAAAGTGAACAAAACAAAACCAACTTTGCTATAAAGGTTTTGCTTGTTTCAGCACTTAAATACACAAAAGTATATGATGAGAAAACTTCTGTTCTCAGCAGAATCTGCAAGAGACAGTAACTTAGAAAAGTTATTAAATCTCTAAGTAGATTAAGGAATCCTGCTTGAAGTCTTCTTGAAAAAAATCTTGATTTTAGCCTTCACATTAAAACAGTTTCACTGGATCCTATCCTATGTCAGCATACATACAGAATAAGATTTACATTCCATGATTTATTTATTTAAGGGAAAATCCGTAAAGCAAAAGCATTAGCCTCCCACACTCACAGCAGTAGTCATGGTCCATATATTCTGCAGCAGTAAACAGGTATTTGTGCTCAGTACTCTGCTAAAACTACCACTGAACCAGAAAAGATACTGTAGTTTACCCTTTGTTTCTGAACTTATCTCTTACCCAGTCCAAGAGCCTCAAGAACCTCAGCAAAATGAGAACTCATGCGCATACAAATCTGCCAGCACAGAACAGATCACAGCATGAGGACCAACACATCTGATTCTCATTAGGAGCTAGGCTAAATTTAAAGCTTTCTTTAAATAGAGAGTAATCAATAAAGAAAAGCTGAACCCCGACATTTCCAAGCTGTAATTGGCAATATCCATTAGCATATCACAAACCAATTACAGTGTCAGTTAATGTAGCAAGACAAATTGTATCACTAAAATTAGTTAAAACACCCATCCTCAAGTCTTCTGGGGCTTTCTTCAGAGAAAGCTCAGGGTGTGCAAGGAATGCGTGGTTGGGCCCCCACAGACCTGTGCATACTAGTCTGATGGGAGGTGGGGAGAGGGGGTTACTTTAAACAAAAGGCAGGATTACACATCTGTACAAATATTTAAAACACTGTTTGTTTCAGCTTGCTATCTGCTTCTCCCAAATATAATGGCTGCACTAATTCAAGAGAATGTGATAAAGCAGGATCAAATCTGTTTAAGGGAACAGAGCTTCCTTCTGCAAGATATCTTCCTTTTTGCTGGCCACATCATAACAAAAGTGCAATAATTTATAATCTTCTCAAACAAACAGTTATTAAAATTATACAATTCTAGGGAAACAAATTCACAAGTTTAACCATAAAAATATTTCCCCAGGTAATAAACGTTAAAGCGTTCAGTTACACAGTATTGCAATAATTATAATACAGAAAATCCCTTCTACTTATTATAAAAGACAGAACTGTTAGAAGAATTTGCTTAATGTACACTATTTAATAGTTTTGCACCTCGTGAAGGCTGTGCTCCAATTAAGAACAAAACTATCATTCAAAATAAATGAGTATGGAAATACTGACCTGACTTAAAAACTGATACCTTCAACATTTTGGAAATGAAGACAAGGCATAGCCCAGGGCCATGTCAATCCAGGTAGTCAAGAATTTACAAGACAGTTTACACCCAGAATCATAAGACAGCACCATTTTCCATTAAGTACTCTGTATGTCTATTGCTGAACTGCATATTAAATAGTTTTGTGAGAACTACAAAAGCAGATTCTCATACTAACTGCACTTTACCTACAGAATCCATGTCTGGGGATAACAGAGAACTTGGTGACAAAAATTACACTGAAAAAAAACCAAAAAAAAACCAAAAAAAAACCCAGTATCCTCAATTTGGTCCAAGCATCCAAAAGACAAACAAGGGCACTGCTTAATGCTGCTGCTTAATTGATCATTAAGAAGAATAGGTGTATGGCAATAAGGAACAAGAAGGGCTGCCTGTGGTAGGCACAGAACTGTGACAGAACAGTCTCTTCAGAGAGATGTTTTAACTGTGATTTTGCTGTGTGAGCAACTGAACTTATAGTAATGGAGAACCACAAAACTCATAACTATAGCCACAAGAAAAGATTTTCTATTTAAAATAATAATAAAAAAAAAAGATTCATTTTTAATTAACTGCTTTTCCAATTGTGATTTGATATGTGAAAAGAAAAAAAAAAAAACAAAACACCAAAAAAACCCCAGCATAAAACAATTACAAAGTGTGGACTGCAGTAGCAGCTATTCAAGCAAGATTCAAGCACAAATTTAAACGATTTTCCAAGCTGGAAATTAGCCTTCTTTGTCAAATATTTGTACAACTTTTTCAAAGACCTAAAAAGAAAGAGAAGATCATTAATTTTATGAAGTGTTAGGTAAACAGTCACTTGAAATTAATCCAGAACACAATAATTGATAGCATTTAAAGATGGTTTTCTTAGAATTTCTTCTGATTATTTAAGCAGAAAAATTTGCATCAGTTCTAGGAAATGGGGACTTAATATTAAGTATTTCAAAGTTCATAAAAGTGGAAAAAAAGCCAAGAACAACAAACTGTTACACAAAAATCTGTTTAGTCCAGCTCACGTTCAAGCAGAAATTGATTTCTTAGTTATTCCCATCTCAATCGGTTCTTCAAGAGCCAAATTGAAAGTTCTACAGCCTCCACCAGCAATGAACACCAGTAACAAACTGACTTCACCAGCCATACACACATCTAGGAAAAACACCATCAGTACATACCCTGCTATTTGGCTTATATACTTACTTCATCAACCGATTTAGAGGCGTCTACTCGTCTAACTTTTCCCATTCTCTCATATAAGTCTATTATAGGTCTAGTAGACTGCAGATATGTATGAATTCTAGGAGAAAGAAAAGGAGGAAAAAAAAAAAAAAAGAAGCATTACATAATAGAAGTAAAAGAAAAGAGAACTGAAATGTTTGGGATACAGTACCTCTTTTCCAGACTCTCTCGATTATCGTCACTCCTGCCACTGCTCTTGCCTCTTTCAAGACAGCGACCAATGCATATCTACAAAATAAGCATCAAAAGGACAATCACAACCAGGAACATAACATGCTATCTGAAAAGCAGGAACAAACAAAAAAAACTGAATTAATAGTACACCTTTGAAAAAAAATCTAAATAGGCCTGATGCTCAAAATACTGTCCAGATTCGATGTAAGTAACCCAGAATTCACACAGAGTTAAATAGTGAAAACAAAAGAAACATCAAGTTCTGTGGCATGCAATTAAGTTAAACAGTCATCTATTTATGAGAAAATTGGACCAAAAAAAGGAAGAAAGATTAAGATGTTTGGATTTTCTTGCATCAGTTTTTATCCCTCAAGGGCACTGCCATATTTTAAAGACAGCATACCATCGCATTTATTAAAGGACTAATTGTATCACTGTCAAAAAGTCCTTAAAATCTAATGACTTGCTGAGTAAAGTGTTGATCATTGGGTACCTCCATCACAGCTCACAACTATGAAAATTAAGATGTATGCTGTCACCACTTCAGAATTAAAGCAAACATTGCTATTAAATTGATTTCTGATGAACAAGTACTCTGAAATCCTTAAGAGTAAACACAGCAGTGTCTTCTGACAATGAATCAAATAATTGTTTAATATATTTAAAGGTTTTATAAACTCTCCTTGAGAACGCAATTGTTTGAGTTGTTTCTTCAATGTAATTTATTTGCACAAGATTATACCAAGTGTAATTATCCACTTGCTATTTCAAAAGCCTGCAGTTTTTCATCTGCAAAAACAGGCTGCCAAAAATCCCCGAAACTCACTGACCACATTTTCTTTCTACTCCTACACCAGTCTATTAATACTGGAAGATTCACTACCCAACAGTTTTATTGTTCTTCTTGAATGATTCTCACAATACAGCAAGAAAGGAAGTTACAGCCTAACATACTTCATTACCTCATTGTCGCAATCAAAAAAGAGAACAAAAGAAACATCCGCCTTTCCATCCATAGTCTTATTCCAGCCTTGAAGATTATCTTCGTTTCTGGGAAAGCCATCAATCAAGAACTTGTTCTTCTGGGAATTTGCGGCCATTGTTTGATCCATAGCCTGATAAAAGAATTCAAATCAAGACCTCCTGCACAGGCAACCATTTATCAATTCCTTCATCACCTCCAAAGTATTCATATATTAAATTAAGAAACATTTCTTGTAGAACTATTGCACGGAATCACAGTATCACAGAATGGCCAGGTTGGAAGGGACCTTGAAGATCATGAATCTCCAACCCCTCTGCCACATGCAGGGCCACCAACCTCCACATTTAATACTAACCAGATCAGGCTGCCCAGGGCCCCATCCAATCTGGCCTTGAAAACACCTCAAGGGATGGGGCATCCACAACCTCTCTGGGCAGCCTGTTCCAGCACCTCACCACTCTCTGTGTAAAGAACTTGCAAATTTACAATGTGGTTTTTTGTTTCATCTTCAACCCATTCTAATTACTTCACTGATGCAGCAATGGAGCTTCCTTTCAAACTGACTACACTATTTCATTATGCTTAAAATCTTTTAAAGCCCAAGTTTAGAAGTTTATACTCTACAATATTATGTAACAGCACATTGCAGTACAAGATGCTAAACTGTTCCTGGTCTAGAGTTAATGCAAATGAAAAGAACTCCAAAGAAGTTCAGCTGAACGAGCAAAAGAAGCCTCTTCCATCTCAAAAGAGATATTCTGATTATTTTCCTGGACATCTAATAAGGATAAAGATTGGAACTTTTCCATCCACAGAACATTAGCAGGTGCTCTTCTCCTTTCCTCTCCTTCGCTTGACTATTCTGATAACAGGGGTAACAGGGACAGTTCTTTCAAAATACTGCCACTGCTTTGTCACTTAGTCCGCAAGGGTGAACCAGCAAGGAAACAGCCCTTTCCTTACCCTCTTCAACAAGCTGATTGTTATTTCAACTGGTACGATTTCCCCCTCCTTAATGTAGTTCTCAATGAGTTCTCCATATTGTGAGCCTGGCCTTTTCCGTTCGTCTCGAAGGAGGTCGCCAGCAGAAAGGTGTGTGTAGCCATACTTCTGAAAAGTGCAAAAGAAACAGACACAGATACCCTTGAATTAGTGCACGTGCAAACTTACATCAGTCAACAGTATCAGCCACATCTATCTTTGTATTGCAACAGAAAAATACAGGAAATAGCAGCTTGCGAGTGACAGATGTATTCCACCTTCAGGATGCACAGAAAGCACAATGAGAGATTCCTGGGCAAAACAGTCAGCAGGGACTCAGACTGACAGTCATGTCCTGTTTCCAAAGGTAGCAGTGTCACATTTGGAAATATGACGGTCTCAAAGTCCCCAGGGTGTTTCTTGAAATGCCGCATTGTACAATGAGGCCTTTAACAAACTCCAGATTCTCTCTGAGCTACACCCCCTCCTACACAATTTTACTGCTTAGCTTCTTCACTTGCTAAATCATGACTTGATCTATTGACTAATAACCACTAAAACATTTTAACACCACACCCTGCAAACAGCAGAGATCAGGTCCAAGTCTATTGATTTGTGATCAGCATGCAGGAAAACAACCAACACCACAACCCTCTTCTTTCACCTCACAGAAAAGTTGAAAGCTTTGCTAATGCAAAATGCTGGTGAAAGTTGTTATAATTGAATTTCTCAGGCATGTACAATCATGAATAGACAACTAGTGCAAAGCTACAAATGTGTTAATGTAAAAAATACAGATGTGCTGTTGTAATGGAAAATTCAGAGCACAAAACAACCCTTTGCTCAGCTCATTTAATACCACCAGAAAACTAACCAAGCACACTCCTTGGGCAAGTATACTACATAAAAACAGGCATAAAGACATCTCCTTGATGAATACTTAAACTAAACTGGCAATAAAACAGCTAAGCTAGCCATACACCACAAACAGAGTACACCTATACATACTTGTCTTAAAGTTTTCACACAAAACAAAAACAGCAGCAAATTACTTCAGGGTTATCAGCTTGGCTGCAGCAGCTTCCAAAGCAAATTTCAAAAATGGTGCCTGAACAGGATAATCAATGTGACTAAATGCATGTTAGGGCTGTGAACTTGGGATTTACAAACTTGGTGACTGGACTAAGTACAACAGAAATATTACACAACCCACTAAGTGGCTTTAGAAACATTTCATTTGCTTTCCAATTTCACCCACAAAAGCGTGGAAAGTTTGTTCTGCATAGTCGTAATTTAAGAAGGGATATAATTACCTAAATCTCTAAAATGCTACACATCTGGAAAGAAAAGGAAACAAGATTTTGCTTTAAGTAGCTGTGAAGAAAAACCTCCACTGACGTCCTCTGTAAGCTCACTGTACTCCTGCTTTCATGTGCATTGCAGTTGGATATGCTTATTTAACTACAAATCTGCATATTAACTATGGACTACAGACACTGTAAGCCAGAGTAAATCTCTTCTCTTAAGCAGGAAACCTTACCCTGCCGAACCCTAAATTAACACGGACTTCTCTGTACAGTTACAGAACGATGATATTTTTAACATTAAATTCCTATGCAGAAGAAAACAGGAGGAAAATATAATCCCTTCTGTTTCAGAGGATTACCAACCCATTTGATTTTCTTTGGCATGTCCCTTCTCATGCAGAAAAAGGAAGTGGAGTCAGGCAATTTTTGGAATTTTCTGTCATTTGCAACAGCAAGCTGGATTATTTCTTAAGGGCTGAACAGGAAAGTAAAAGATAGAAGTGCTTCAGAGTGCTATTGTATAAATGGAGTTGTTTTAGATAATAGTAAATTGTCTTCCAGAGTAACCTTCAGAATGTATTAGCCAGGCAGTTAGATAAACAAACTTCTCCTTCAGTGGCAAAACATCTATTTGTTAACTGCATGGAGCACGGGAGCCAAAGACAACATGTCAGCTTAAACAACACCAACAGCACAGACAGAGGCTGGACTGCTGCTCCACACACAGCAGGCTTCAGAGAGGCTCATGCTGCCCTCGCCAGTCTGAATGAAGCCACGTTTCCAGGACACAATGTCTTCTTTCATCTCAGGCAAGACAAACCCTCAGCGAGCATCCTGAGCTGGACCGAATCTCAGCCTCCCCAAGAGCTTGCAAAAGAGATTGCAATGTTCCTGCACAACAGCTGGGGCAAGGCACTCACGTCTTACAAGCCTGCGCTGTGCCAGCACAACTTCCAGAAGCGCCAAGTACATCTTGCAACAAGCTCCATCCTGGGGATTACAGCAACCACTGCCTAAGCCTTCTCCTCGCAATTAGAAAGGGATGGTTGTAGCTTCCAAGTAATGAAAAAGCAGTTTCTTCAGTTCTTAAAGAATGCATATATGTTAGATTCATGACGTTAGCAGAGGGCTGAAAGGACAACTTAAGTCAGAAACTAGCTTAAACCAAAAAATTCAAAAGAGTTGGATGTCAAGCACCTGAAATCTGAACAGATTTTCAGACTAGAGAACAGACAAGAAAATATTCTAAGATATATCTCATAGATAAATTTTCCACTATGCTAGCTGGCAGACATGTTCTTCTATGACAAAACACTAAATCAGTATGCAGCTACTAAACAAGCTGTTTTCGTTGTTTTCAAAAATGCTTTTATATTTGGGGAACCATAATCCAGTCTCTTACAAAAATTAGCTGTCAACAAAAGACAAAATCTCATCCGTCTTCAGCACCAGTGTAGACACCTTTCTCCTTCGCTTTCAAAGGTCACAGCGGAGTAGAAAGGCAAGTCCAAATCTCCAACAATCCCAGCTGAGCAATTTTCCTTAGAACAGCATTTAGCAGTGCTCTATAAAACAGAGGAAACCACAGTTTGCTTGTTCTTTATACAAAGACCTGGAAAAGGCCGTCCCCACTCAGCAGGGCAAACATGGAGAAGTTGCAAATCCTGGCTGACAGTCTGTAGACAGAACAAGTTTTACTTACTGTAAATACAATAAATAGATTAATATCAACTACAGATGAGAACAGATGAGTCATATCTATGCCACTCCTGAATAGGGCAGAGTTCACTCTAGCAACTTTCTCCATGCAGTAGGACAGGATCAGCAGCACAGATCAGCTGCTGTTGGGACTCCTCCCACAGCCAACCTCGCACAGGGCACAGGAGTTTCTTCCCAACACAGCAGCATCCAGAGTATGAAAGCTCCCATAGTGAGCAGAAGCTAAGAAAAAGCAAAACGAATTACCACTCTGACCTTGAATCCTATCTTGGCTTATCACTGTTAATCCGAAAAAATGAAAGTCAAAGGGCTAAACAAACAAAACACAAACTTTTATTGCCTCAGTTCCAGCTTGCCATACCTTAAGCAATCTTACTAAACAACCACAGTTCGCTGTATTTTCTCAGGTGTGCTCTTGGAGAACTAGTTAAAATAAAAATAGAACCTTGGAAAGCACACATATTCCTCATACTTTTACTTTTTTAATCTAAAATGTTTTGTCTGTGCCATCAACACGTGGAAAGAGAACTTTAGGGCATAAATCATATGCAATAGCAGCCCTCCTATCTGCCTGGTTCCACCTAAAAGCTATTTTCCTAGTTAGAGATGTGCTCCTGCCTCTGGGGAAAAACAAAACACAAGGCAAAATAAAACAACACAAAAAACAGAAACCCACACCACATTAACAAAACAAAACACACAAAGGAGATCCCACTGACAGAGCCTCCGGAAAGAGGGGGCAAACAGAACACCCCAGTGCTGCAGGAATGTTGAGCTCAATGAGAAGGTTGAGAAAGCCCAAAATTCAATGCCCAGAGAGGAAGCCTGCATTCTGTGAAATGGAAGCATATAGAGAATAAATCTTTAGAGGAGAAAAACAGATTTAAATAATCAAAACAGCTCCAAAGTTCAGGAATAAGAACTCACATTCCAGCAAACAATGATGAGAACTTCACAGCTAACTGGGCTACCAATACTTGGCACTCTTGGAAGAGATTTGAGAAATTGAGTTTAAATAACTTATAAAACGTTTTTATTTCAAGAAAGTTAATGCTGTCTCTCAACAGACTTCCAGAAGACAATTAACACATGACAACAAAAGTTAAACCTACTGCTGCTTCCAGAGGAGCACTCCTGAAACAATGAGTTCTTTCCAAAGTTCTCTTCTCCCTAGAGAACCTCTTTAACGTACATCCCAAAACAACTTCACACCTTTCTTCACTTGGATACCAACTGAAACTCTTACAAAAGGAGAAAGCTCAGCATCCCACTTGGTGGGATTCATTGTGGAACTCAACACCAACATCCAGCATGAGCCTGTGGTGGAGACTGATTACTTTTTGTGTGCACAGAGAAAGATGTCATGCATACCCCAAACCTCCACAGTCACTTTGAAACAAAAACAAACCAAATCACCCAACAACAAAAAGAAAAAGCAGAAAAAAAAAAAAAAGAACCCTATCAGTTGAAATCTTGCATAGAATGAAGACTAAATACTTAGTTATCACGCTTCCCCCCCAAAGAGAGCTTTGTGCTTCAGGTAAAGTTTGTAAAGATTTAAACTTGAACTCAACAAAAGCTTTTTTTTTTTTTTTCAGATTTGAGGAATAAGGTATTTTTTCCTTGACTGTACCATAAATGCATAAATGTTTTTGTGAGGCAAAGTTCAGAAATCAGCAATAAAACACATTCATTTTGTCTTGCACACACACAGTAATCTCACCATCACAAAAGATATGACCTTCATGCACTCCATGGTGTTTATCTCAAGCACCTGCATTCAGATACCATCTGAACTACCTTCTCAGATACTGTGCCTCACCCAACAAGCTATGCACCAGTCTCAGGTGATGTCAGAAGCTCCCTGAACTGTGGGAAGTGGCAGGAGTTCATCTGCAGAACTGGGAGAGAACAATAACTTGAGGAATTCTGCTTAATCTCTTCATAAATAGGAAGAATTGGTCTAGAGCAACATTTCTACTGCATTTACATTTCTGTGACAACACTGTGTACATACAGAATATTTATGGCTTCTCTCCCTATCAGCAGAAAGCAGGCAGGTTCAGCTGTCTCTTTAAACCTTAACTGCAAAGATTATAAAACCTCATCACTTACCTGTTGCTCCCTTCTGTACACTGTGTCAATACTCATTCCCACTTGTTACTGCAAATTCTTCCCTCACATCACTTCTCCACTTTGGTCCAAATATGACAGAACACATCCCTAGGAGGGGCTCCGCAAGCTGAGATTTAGGTTTGTGGGTGAAATCTGTATTTCCCAAACACTATGACTGATGCCATTTCATTTTCAGGCAACGTAAAACAGTCAGTAAAAGAATCATGTCACTTTTTTGAGAAATTGTTCCTGGTTTAGTGGGCATGACAGTGATGGGATGATGGTTGGATTAGATGATCTAAGTAGTCTTTTCCAACCTTATCGATTTTGATTCCAATATGACTTCTACTCCACTGTTGCTGTTGTTTTTGAATAAGACCACTTGAAGCTAAAATCAAACAAGATCTCTCCTCAGCAAAGAGAGCCTCCTGCATGTGATGTGCTCTGTCCCAGATCTCCAGAATGTACAGCAACTGAGAAGTATTTATAGCGCACACTGACTTTTTGTTGAGCACAAACTTCAGATTTAGAGCAAGATATGGGATCAGATTCATTCCTAATGTAAACTAATATTAATCAGTCCATTTATACAACAAGGATGAATGAGGTTTATTATGACTCAGCTACAGCTCCTTTTCTCTGTGGCAAGCTGCCAACAGTGTCTAAAATCCAAACAAAACTATACTTTCAACCTGAAAGCAGCATTGATTTCATGAAGGCTGTTCAACTGCCTGCATCAGGGCTCTCACGGGGACTGTGAGAACCAGGCCAAAGGTGTGTGCTTAGAAAATCTGTTGCTCAACAGCACCTCAATTGCATTTCATCCACGTGTCCATGTTCGAGATCTTTTTTAGATTTTCTACCAGGTTCATCCAGCCCAGGCCTCCTCAGACCCTCTCTCCCAAAAAGCCAGCGACTCCTGCACAGGATGTCAGGAGCTTCTTGTCATGCAGTGAATGGGATGTGCAGGTTTAGAGGGAGTCTGCATTTATTAGCTTTTGAACTTCTCTTGTTAGCCTCAAAAAGAAAATAAACACGGTACTAGCAAAGTGAATTTTCTGTTTCCATTTTTAGCTGCAGCTCCAGTTTGAGTAGAAATGACTCATTCCTATCAACACGGTCCTTACCAAATTATATTAACCTATAAAGCCAAAGACATTTATACTTCTAAACACATGGCAACAGCCACATGAGGCATTTCAGCCCTGAGGCTCCACTTATGGTTTGGCAGAAGCCTTTAATGACAGCCTACAAAAATTCCCTACACTTTAAGCTCATTTGTTTGCTATGTACCAGAGACAGAATTTGACCTTACCAAAAAGGCTTTACAAATGCTATGAACCTTTCATCCCACCACTTAATGGAAGGAATAAGCCAGTTTAATAACAGTCTATAATTTGAGGTTAAAGCCCTTCAGAACTCTGCATAATGGCATTTTTCATGCCATCATTTGGTCACGTGGATCAAATTCACATAAACCAGATCCTCCATGCAGAGGACAGGGATGTAATAGCAGGGGGAACCTGCAGCATTAGAACTAGGACACACATGCCTGTGCCAGACACTGGGGCTTTGTGCCTTGGTTGGTTTCTTCCTTCCATTAATAGATTCAGAAACATGGGCACTGCTGCAGCTCTGTAATTTCTTTCAGCATGGGTATGGACAAACGTCAAACCTTTGCAGATCTCAATGAGACAAAGAATGTACAGCTGCCCAAGGGAAAAAAAAAAAAAAAGCATAAAAATCCAACATAGATGTGTTTGGAAGCATCCAGGCATTAAATACTTCTGTAATTATCCACTGATAATGTGGATTACTGTGCAATTACTGCTGGGTTTGTTTTTTGCGCCCGAATACAATATGCACCTTCCTGCCTTTGCATTTGCTCTACCTCACAGGGCTGTCAAAATTTACTTGGAAAACTGAAAATGCGTAAAATACAGCATTTACAGCATCAGCTGATAAAGCAAGAGCAGCAGTAACCTTACAGAACACGTTCTGACCTCTGCCACGGCACCGAGCAGCCTCCGTTCAGAAGGTGCAGCGCTGGCAGCAGCACAAGAGCCACCTCCCTGCCACGTCGCGCTGCCAGCTGCACGGGGCGCAGCCCTCGAGCCCTGCGAGCCGCAGCGCCGTCACCCGCCGCCACCCAGCGCCGCGGCCTTTCGGCTCAGCCCCAGGCGCCGCAGGCAGCCGCCTTCCCCTCGCTTCTGCGGGCGGCTGGGGCCGGACCCCCACCCCGGCAGCCTACAACCCCCAGCGTGCCCCGCGGCAACGCCCGCAGAGCGCCCCGTAGCTCTGCCCTGAGGCATGCTGGGATATGTAGTCCCGCTGCCCCCCGCCCCCCTCCCCCCTCCCACCAGCATAGCGCCCGCTCCGCCGCCCTCACCTCCACGATGCGAGCGCACTGCGTCCCTTTACCCGCCCCGGGCCCGCCGAGGACGAAGACAACGACGGGCTTCATGAGGAGCAGGAGGCGACGGCGGAGCAGCAGCAGGACAGCGGTGGGCGCCAAGGCCGGGACCGGTGATGGGGCTGAAGCAGAACCGCCGACAGCCGTTGAGGTGTCCCCGCCGCCGCAAAGTGCTTCCGGGTCCCCGGCGGCGCGCGCCGGGCGGGAGGGGCGGGGCTCGTGCACGCGGAGCCGGCAGCCGCTCGGCCGTTGGGCAGCGCCCCGCGCTGTGCGCCGCTCTCTCCTTACAACTCAGCGTGTAGCGTACGCCGGATCACCACCACCACCCCCCGCGCCTGGAGGCAGGCAGCCGGGATGGGGCGGGCCGCCTCGCTTCTTAGGATCCGACTCCGCTCCTCTAGGCCCGGCCCAGTGATGGCGGCGCCCCGTGCTGCCATAGCAACGCCGTCGCGCCGGACTACGCATGCGCGCACTCCGCCTCCTTGGACCGTTTATTGGAATGGGGCCGTTTTTAAACCCCCCTGCGCGCGCGCTGGCGGTTCGTTCCCCGGGGTGTGCTCCGATTGGTAGAGAGAGTCATCCCTGTTGCGCGCCGATTGGCTCGGAGCGAACAGCGGGGGCGGGAGCACGTCTGGTTCTGCCTTGTGATTGGCTGGCGGCAGTTGGCGGCGCGGAGCGAGGGGTTTGTGCGAACGGCGGGAGGTGAGGCGGGGAGCGGAGCGTCGTGTTGTTCTGTGGCTGTGCGGCCTCAGGGCCGCTTCTGGATCCGTCTGGCTCGCGGTTGGGACGGGCCGGCACCGCGTCCGTGAGGCAGCCCCTTGCATGGAGCCCGTTCTGCCTGGAGCAGAGCCTAGGTAACTACTCGGGGAGGGTCCGTTCAGCCCTTCCTTGAGAGCGGCGGGGACTCCACGGGAATCAGTTAAGGAGCGAGGTGGGGGAGCTGCTGCCAGAGCTGCCCTAAAGCGATGGAAGCTCCTTCCTGAGGCAGCAGCTGGGCCGGCCCTGAGATTTCCAGTGCCTCCCAAGGAAGTTTTGTTTGTTAAACAGCAGTGAGATACCTGCTGCAGGCCGTCGTGGCTTCTGCCCTTTACATAGGGGTTAGTGCAGTCGGTTAGGCACCTGATAACAAAGGTGTTGCTGCTCGTGGGAATCCGTTTGTGTGCTTGTGTGGTGGTTTTCTCAGCCTCTCAGAAGCAGGAGAGCCAGTCTCCCTCTATATTCCTTACTTAAACAACTGCTTTGTTTCTGAAGCCTTCCACATTTAAATGGGCTTCATGCTGACTTTAAACGATGAGCCGTGTGGGGATTTAGAAGCTGGTCTAATGTTAAGCTTGGCAAATTGTGATATTTGTGTGTGTGCACATCAGGAGTTTCTAATCCTTTTCACTGCATGTGTTGTATCAAGCACAGCTTGTTCATGTGTCCAGTTGGTTGTTTTCCTTAGTGAGTTATTTCCTGCTCCTCCTGACAAATGCTATTTGAAAATTTATTGAGCGTAGTATCTTACTTTCTTCTTCTCTGCCATCTTTTTTCCCCAGGTTTATTCCTGATAGGATGGTCCCTTTCAGTTTCCCTCTGTCAAAGTATGCTCTTTGGGACCCAGTTCCCATGGGTGATGTCATTGGTTCACATATTGCCTATTACAGGTAAGGATAGCCTTTTTTTTCTTTTTTAAAAGCAGCAAAGAGTTAAAACAAACTGTGATCACAAGCAGCCCTTATACACAGGTCAGAGCAGCTTCCACATATCCTTGCTGCATAATGCTTCTTGATTTTACACATTCTGACAAAATTTTAAATGGATTACTTTTATTTTTTATGAGTACACTTGATTATTGAGCAGGTAGAATATGCATCATCATCACTATTTGTGTAAACCCACAGCTTTACTTGGAACGTTGAACTTTCTCCAACTCAAAATTGCTATATTGAGCTAAAATGATGCTGATGTATTTACTAACCAAGATTCCAGATTTCTTACTTTCTTACTTTTATTTACTGAATAGTCATTTTAGTTATCTAATTCTTTTCCTGACTTACATTCCTACATCACAGAGTCCACACTACTCCTCCTATTAGAATCCCCAGTAAATATTGTGCTAAAATGGGAGAACATGGACTCAAAATTACTTAGGTGTTGTGGCCTGCTCTACTCTTTTGGTTTCTGAAACTCCTTGGAGGTTCTGTGTTTTGGTCTTAGTGTTTCTAGCAGGTACTCCTGGTACTAAAATAATTCACTTGTTCATCTCTAGTTCTTGCAAAAATGTTGCCCTCTAGCCTAAAAAGCTCTTCTCTCTCCTTGTTTAATCTCCCTGGAAAAAAGCTCTCAAATGTTTGCTGGGCTAGTCAAGTAAATAAGTGTTGAGGTGATCGTACAGTTCTGCTCCATTTAAAATAGGTTCTTCTTGAATATGGATCTTTGGGATGTTGCACAGAATGTAAGATAACATTTAACAGTGCTGTACAAAACACTAACTTTATCACCTTGATGTAAAGAAGCAGCCTAAAGCTTTAAACATTTTCTAACTAAAAGATTATAAAAGTCAGGAAATTTTTGCAGTAAGACACAGTGAAAGTAATTTGGGTCTTAAACTTGCTTATTGTCTCTTTAGAAATCCAAAGTTGTCTATGATGGAGAAACCCCTGCGACTTGCTTATCGCCACGCTAAGCAGAGCGACAAAAAATTATTTGCCTGTTTTTTGCTTGGGACTCTCACAGTAGATGAAGGTAACTTTAAATATCACGTGCACAGACAATAGTGGTTGAATAAGCCTTTATCAAGGAGCCTGAGTTGTTGATCTTGGATGCTAACTTTATTTATTTCAAAGATGGGGAAGGCATAACGCTAACAATAGACCGGTTTGATCCTGGACGAGAAGTTGCCAGCGGATCGGGCAAGGTTCCAACTGCATCTCTTCCTGGAGACTTCTTGATTACATGTACAGTTAGTGCGTGGGGACCTTCTTCAGACAGCATTATAGTGCACAGTGCTGAAGACATCAGCTTGGCTTTCAAGGTAGGTGACTGCTGGCAGCCTTCAGGTTTTTCAAACAGTCAACTGCCTTCTAGGTGGAAGATTAGACTATGCATAGGGCTTGATTTCCAGCCCCACTGATTTAAAACAAACACACAAAAGTAGTGGCTGAAAGAAGATCGCTTAGTTGGTTATGTGAAATGAGCTGTTTGAATGTCATTGAAAAGGATGTTGAAAAGTACTGCAATCAGTAGTCTTCAGAGAAATTTAAAGAGAGTGTAACCCTTAAACTTGGACTAAATTCTTGCTGTGTGACAATAAATCTTCAGCAAAATGAGCAGGACATCTGTGGTAGCAACAGACTTAAACAAGAAAGAGCATTTTTTTCTTTGAAATCTGATTGAGTTGCAGTATTTACATGACAGCTCATAAAAACCATTGCCAAGCAAATGACATGCAAGAAAACCTGTTAATTCTCTATAGGCTAATACTTATATCTGAAATATGTCTCATCTGGACCCCATGGACAGATAGTCTAGTATATGCACTATCAATTTCATTAATTATTTGTCTGTAGTTATTGTTGTGATAAATGCATTAAAATACTCATTCATATTTTATACCACCAGTAATGTTTACTTTCCATCTAAATTTTCCTTAGGGTGATATATCCATGTGTTAAAATACAAATTTCTTGAAAACTAACAACTCGCTTTGGGATTCTAGTTGCCTGTTATGATTTCATTAATTTTCATACAATTCAAGTAACCTTGGGTTTCTGAACATAATATAAAGCAGTGCTAATATCTGCGTAGTTTAATTTCAAATACATTTTACATTATTATTCATTATATTCAGTATAGCCAGGAGCTTTGGAAACATGACTTAATAGGTTTCATTTCTATAGTAGCTACTGTAGTACTAGCTGTAATGAATAATTTGAGTTTCCACTGTAATAAAAACTGAATTGTAGTAATAATATGAAGACAACTTAATTCTTTAACTTCTTTCTCTTTTCCCTGCTTCTAGGATTTGCGGGACAGCCTGTGCAGTAAAGATTCACTGGATCTTTCTAAACTGCTCACTGTCAGAGCTCACATTGTTTTCACAGAAAACCTGGATAATCTAAACTTTAGTTTTCACTGGGCTTCTGTTACAGCAGCAAATATTTTGGAATATACACCAGTGAAGTCTGTCCCAATTATTCCCACAGCCCTAGCAAGGAATTTGAACAGCCCTATGAATATTGCACAAGTTCAAGGAACTTATAAGTGTGGGTAAGTAAAGGATAATCCTTAATTGGCCAGCCAGTATGTTGTGTTCCTTAAAAAAGGGAGGTGGAGATCATAATGCTTTTCTTTTTAATAAAACAACTGACACCAAAAGGACATAATTTCTGGTACCTAGAAAAACATTATAAACAGGAAACAGAGTCAAGAGAAAAATCTTAGATTGTTCAGTAGAATCTCTGGCTTTTGTCTTCAGGAGCACCTTCCTGCTAGGGCAGACTGAGGTATACATAATTAACAAAACAACTATAAACAGCATTCAGCTGTTTAAACAATTCCAGTGCTGATGCTAAAATGAGCATCAGATAAATGTGAAAAAAGCTTTTTCTGTTAATCATGCTTTTAAAGATGACAGCGAAGAGTTGGCATTCTGACTTGTAACTGTTTTAATAGGGTACAACAGGGAAAGAATTTGAGGCAACTGAATGCTGTTTTAGTTTGAGTGACCTTGTGAATGCATTTCTGAAAGTTATTCTTCAAATTTACTATGATTTGCTGTTAAATTTATTATGACTTGCCCTTCTGGATTCATTGCTAGTAAAAGAATATTAAGCCAGGATTGTGCTTGCTAATTCTTTATGCACAGGGCTTTGGTGAAAAGCAGTAGATATGGAAAAAGAATGGTTTTGATCTTTTTTTCCACCAACCTTTTTTTTTTTTTTTTTGATACTTTATAATCTTTCATTTGTCTCTTCAGGATTTCTTGACTTACCAAATATTGAAAATAAATAAATCATCTTTGTTTCAGCTACCTTACTATGGACCAGACACGAAAGCTACTTTTGCTGCTTGAGTCTGATCCAAAGGCATATGCTCTGCCATTAGTTGGAGTGTAAGTATTTGGCTCTGTATAGATTAATACTTTTACTGATTTAAGAGGTATTTGATGGAATATGTAGAGGAGACTTGGTAATGTAATGATCTCTAATTAGATATTTCTTCTTACTTTAGTTGGATGAGTGGAGTTACTCATATCTATAGTCCTCAAGTCTGGGCCTGTTGCCTGCGATATTTATTCAGTTCTTCAATTCAAGAAAGGCAAGTCACTTCTATCTACAAAACATAAATTACTGGCTACCCATAAATGTGTCCTGCCCAGAAGGCATGACAGCATGTGCTCTGCTTAAGGGTATTTGAGAGAATATCTGATTGATGCTGTATAGGAGTTGGGTCTGTCTGTTTTTGTTGTTGTTCCTGGTTTTGACTTATGCCTCACAAATCTTCTGGAAACTGATAAGTGTTAGCAAGCTGGGTTAAACATCCCAAAGACAGAAGAAGGTAAATATTAATATCATCAAGGTCACTGCATTTTTTTTTTTTTTTAGTTTAAATAAGAATTGGCAGAGAACATTTAAACAGAGGTGGGGTTTTAGTTTTGTTTTTGGACTTTTCTTCTGTTTGATTTTTTGATGTGGTTTTTCCTTAGTTGTATTTAACCACTTTTTTTTATGCTCAATCATACTTGCTTTTCAATTATTAAATGAAAACACATTTGGTGAACAGATGTTTGTAATTACTGAACAGACTTTTCCTTAAGCAATTTAAATACACACAGATGCAGATAAGAGCCCAATTAGATGATTAGATTTGTGTAGCCAAGTTAGATGCTTGACTTTCATTAACTTTCTGTGATTTTTATCCTGGAAATGAATTGAGTTGATTTGATAAATCATGCAAAGAGAATTTACCTCTGCAGACTAACTGCTTAATCTGTACATCATCCATCTTCAAGAATCATTTTGAAGTTCTGTCTGAATGTGCTTTTCAAGCATCTGATTCTTACTGCTTTTTCTATCACAAATAGAAATTAAAAAAAAGTAGTATGGAAGTAGTCATACAATTTCCTGAAAATGCAGATTGTTTTCTTTAACCTTGCTTGGACTTCTGTGTTAATGTTGACTGTTGTAAATTCACTATTTTCTACTTGTGTTTAAAGAAAAAAAAAAAAAACCCAAAAACTTAGTATAATTTTTCTTCAGAAATGTTTTTAACATTGAGTGTTTTTTGAATGCTGAGGAGTAACAACCATCACTTTTACAATGTTTTCTTCTACACAATTACTGAAGTCCTTCAGTAATTCAGCCAAAGTAATAAGTGATCCCAAAGGAGGTAGAAAGCAAAGAAATTATTCCCACCATCTCTGTACTTGGCTTTGATTCTCACATATGGCATCAGTCACAAGTCTCTCTGCTCTACCTATTTATAGCTCAGTGCTACTCAAAATGCACTAAGTGACCAGTCTGATAAATTGTGTGATAACTTGTCCAATATATTGAGAAGCTAATGACCTTCTTCCTGTTTTTTTTTTACGATGTGGGCTTTTTTCTATTTTAGGGTTTTCTCAGAATCTGGAAGTTTTCTTATTGTGCTTTATTCATTGACACACAAAGAACCAGAATTTTATGAATGTGGTCATTGCAGAGGGCAGACTGAATTAGGGTTCCAGCTCTTAACTTGCAACGAAACAGTACACCTCTTCAAAGTAAGTGGCTTGATTACTTACTGCATCACAGTAGTTTAAAAAAAATCAATGCTAGTTGAAGTATTTAAAGGAGACAAATAATATGACCCAAATGAAACTGCACCGCTTATAAATGACAGCTATTTAATGTTACTTATTTCTGTTTTGACAGTGTTTTAAACGTAAGTTGAGCATGTATCAAAGTGAGAGAGAACCTCAGCAGGTGCTGACTTTACTAGTAGTATTTAAGAATCTGCTTTTTAAAATGCAGTGTGCTGTGTTGAACTTTGCTAGTGCTCTTTAAACTTCTGTCAGCTGCTGTGGTTGATGCATACTTGTTTGTTTTCTGAAGAGCAAGGCCTAGCTAGTTATGCTTTGTTCAGAGTTGAATGCAAAATGACATTCAGTGGTTGGTAACTTGCAAACCTCTTTCTGTGCTGCAGTAACAAAGCAGGAGAAATTTTTATTTTTGTGCAAGGTAACTTTCTGAAAAAATTTCATACAGTACTTGGGAAGTACTCAAAGGGCTTGAGGAAATCCTAGAAAATCTGTTCTTTAAATGTTTTCCTGGGAAAATGCAGAACCTGAAATTGAACACTTGTTCATTGCATGCTCTGGTAAAGCAACACACAGGGTAATGTGACCTGTGCTCTTATGCTCTGCTCTTTCTCCAGAAAAGGCTTTCTGAAGACAGAAGGCCTTTAGTAACTGAGGCTTCCTTCTGCTGTTCCCAGCTGTGTAAATTGGTATAGGAGCATTTGTTGTTTCCTACGATGATGAAGGCTTTGTGGAAGACTATCTAAGCAGTTACAACAAGGAAGCATCTGCTCATGGCTATAATTAGGCCAACTAGAGTAGCAAGGGGAACAGTGTTAAACAGGAAAGGAAGCCTGCCTACTTGTAGTAGTGAAAGAATTGAGAATTGAAAGTAAAGAACAAGCAACAAGTAATCAGCTACAAACTTCCTTGAAACTATTTCTTTGGGAGCAGTGTCTTGGTTATCAAAAGCTTCACATTGGCATGCTTCACAAATACAAAAAACTTCATTTCAGAACATTGAACCTTCAGACAAGAGCCCTATCCAGTTTGTATTGAGTGCAGAGAAACAAAATGCAGAAACAGAGTTCTTCAGCAGAATCTGCAAGAAACTTCCTACTAAAAGGTAAATCTTTCAGATGTCATTTATGCACAAAAATCAAATATCTATTTAATCAGTTTATTTTTACATCTTCTATGTAGGCTGTCAGGCTAGCTCTGACTATAGTGATGATTTTGCATTAAAATCTGCATGGGCTTGTTTGTTCTTAGAGCTCACATTCAAGCAAGATGGTCAAACTCTTTCTCCATTGCTAGAGAAAGTACTAGTAATTCTACTCTTGATACTGGTGGTTGTAATTTGGACATTAGATGTTTCTGAGGAGGCCTCTTTACTGATAGAGCTTGGAGTCCTTTGGCTCAAATCTCTGAAATGTACTTACACTGGTAAAAACTTATTTTCTTCTGACCTTTCAGAGCTGAGACTTGGATAGGTTGAAACTTAAGGATTTTGGGAAACCTGACTTATCCATCAGCTTTTTATCTAGGGCTGAAAGATGGCCCTTGTTGTCTTTATTCTTTAAACAATGCCACAATATTTACTCTTTACTTTAGTACTTCCTATCTTCCTAACATAAATCAATGCTTCTCTGTTAGAATGGCATTCAAAAGATGTATGTTTGGGGATGTGAAAAGAGGATTAGTATATTTATTGCCCCAAAATAGTATTTGTATTTTCATTTTTTGGTCCTAGAGCTGTTTGCCATGTGAACTTTCTGGCTAACCAGGGAGACTTACAACTGCTGATTATTTAAAAAAAAAAAAAAAAAAAGCTGATATTTCATTGTAGACTTCACAGTGAAAGATGTGAATGTTTATGAAAACTGCTTGTCAGATTGGGCAGTAATAGTTTGATTTATGTTGTTTTAGTCCTCTTCATGGTTGTTCACCCGGTAAGCTGTCAGCAAGTGATCATGACTCTGGTGTAGAAGATGAGGATTTGTCCCCAAGGCCAATTCCAAGTCCTCACCCAGTGAGTCAAGAGGTAACTAAATAATGTCTTTAGACTTCTCAGGTTCTAGAAGATGTGATAACTGAAGCAGCAAAGCTAATTGTAAGGGGATGAGAGCTTCATTCTCAAAGTGCTAACAGAAACAGAACTGAAGTGTTCCAGGGAGTCCCAGCTCCTGTCTCTAGTCAGCCTGCTTTTGTGCTGAGATCATAGGCACTTCAATTCCTGCATATGCTAGTATTTGGGAAAAGATTATCTGCTAGTTTATCTTGGTGGGTTTGTTTTGTTTCTTGTTTTTTACTGAAGCACATACAACTATAACAGAGTACCTGCAACAATGTATTTGATAATCCACAAGGGTGGTGCTGTCTGCTGGGTCTAAGAGTAGTAAGAGGAGACATGTAGCCTTGCAGTTCCAGGATGACAAGGCTTTTGTTTGGTAGATACAGCTATTAAGCTATATGGAGGCAGTACTTTAAGACTGATCCTATAGATTTTTCTGCTTTTTCTATGTCTGGACTCTCCAGTCATTAAAAAGGTATTCCTTATATAGCTGTTTTGGAGCTGGTAACAGTCATACAGTTTTGAATGGAAACAATATCTTGAACAAATACTAGGAAGTTCTGCTTGTGAAGTGCAGAAGAACAGTATTTTAGAGAAAAGTTAAACTTGCTTATGTAATTACCTTCAGGTTACCAGGATCTTTCCATCAGTTCCTGAACTGTCCCTTGTTTTGGATGGGAGCTTTGTGGAATCAGGACAACTGCCTAAGCCTGCAGGGACTTCAAATGCTAAAAGTCTTCCTCAAGTGCTACATCAATCTGTTAAAAAGAAATGCTACTTAGGATCTGTTTATTATCCCACCCACTGCTCTGAAGACAAACAAAACTTTTCTGCTAGTATCGGAGATCCTTCTTTGAGGCAATTACCAAACCATTTAAACCAGAAAATTCCAACTTCAAGGTCTTCCTGGGGAAAGCAGGCTCTAATACAGCAACAGTTGCACTGTAAGAAATCTTGTCCGCAATCAAGAAAAAGTTCTGGATCATCTTCTCCTTCAACCCCTTGCACTGAACCTTCCCCAGATACATCTGTGCATCAACCCAGAAGGCCACCACAAAGACTTGTACTAAATCCTGAGGGAGCTGCACAGCAGGGAGAACTTCTGGTTCGAAAAACCTCAGTATCTGACTCCAAGCAGCTTCCTGCTGTTACACAGCCAGTTCTCTACAACTCCTCTACTTTTTCAATGCAGAGCTGCAGAAGACCACCAGAACTGCAGGTGCCAGTTCATGTTCCGCCTTGCTGTCCAGCCAGTGCATGCAACTGTCAGTTTCCTGCTTCAGTCCAATATAATTCAATAATCTCGTGGCAAGGAGTTGGTGAAATGAACCCCAAACATGGAACAGAAGTTCAATCAGAGATAGCTCAACAGAACCCATGCACAATGTTCCATCAGAACACCATTTGTCCAAATCTTTGCTGCAGTTATACAACAAGTAGCCCTATAAGTATGGGGTATCGTGGGAAAATGGGGAGCTGTTCTCTTGAAAATAGCTTGTCACCTGGAATAAGACTGCCTTCAAGTGCAAGCCCCTCTAGTCCCCAGTGCTGTGGTGCTCACTCACCTTGTTTGCACACGCCTGCTTCTACAACAGGATCAGATAATGGGATGATGGGATTATCTCCAGATGCTTACCGGGTTCTTACAGAACAAGATAGGCAACTCAAATTACTTCAAGCTCAGGTTTGTTGAAACGACTTCTTTCTCCTCTGCCCTCTTAGTGATTGTTTTGATACTTTCCCTGTCAAAGGAATAAAGTAAACATTGAGCTTCACCAGGAAGAGAGAGCCTGTCATACCTGGTCCAGTCTGGGGTCGGAATTAGCTCTGTTAATTGATGTTGCTCAAAACACACTTTTTGATCCTTCCCTAGTTAAACTTTCTGGAATTATAACAGTAAATGTAATGTGAAGGTTCCTTTTTCAGCAGACTGGTTTATAATGCAAACTGATATGCCTTCTATATAATTGTTTCTCTATTTTTTTTTTTAAAGAAAAAGTAAATTACTGTTTCTCAGTATATACAGACTAGAGACTGGAATTAATGTAAACATACAGGTGAAGTATGGACTGTTCTCATGAGTTATTTTGTCCACCTTCAAGTCTGCAGCCTCCTGCTTTCAAATTTATTTGTACCAAATCTGCAGGATTCATCAGGTTTGCTGGGTTGGAAAACTGGGTTTTGCTGTTCTCACTAAGTTTTATTTCAGTAGCAGGTTAAGTGCCTTCAAAATGCCCACTTCCTGAATTATAATGCTAGCCCTGTGTTCTGCAGGGTGTGACTTGGGATTGACGAGCCAGTGTTTGAATTCTGCTGCTAGTGATGAATGATGGGAATAGAAAAAATCAGTACAATCATAAGCAGTATGTATTTCTCCTGCCTAAATGAGAAAACTGAAATAGGCTGTAGTTGTAGTTCCTGTATGTAAAATCAAGCTCTCAAAGCATGAACTGTGCATCAGGGAAGGAAACCACTCCTCACTGTACAAACACATTGGAGCTGTGGAGTAATCAACAAGCAGGGTGAAGACTTGAGTGAAGGCTGCCTGGATTGCTGTAATTTTATCATTTAAGTGCTTGTTTGTTGAATTTATAATTTCATACGAAGTTGTTTTGACATGATATATGGACAGCTGGCATATAAAATGCTTGGTTGGTGAATGATAGCTTTGCATATGGATAAAAGGGACAGAAAATTCTTCCAACAAGTGTTGCATAAATAGGTTTTACTCAGGTTTTCTTGATGTAGTCCTGCCAGCATGCACAAAACCTTTTATTTGGTAGCTCTGCCATCACATGCTGCTGAGAATGGAATGTTATGAGACGTCTATGGCAGTGCATCCTGGATTTGAGTCCAGATCTTAAAGGATACAAACTTAATTAGTTTCTGCCTATTATACTTTGTATTTCATTGTACAAATTACACCATTCTGATAACCATTGCAGATCCAACGCTTATTGGAAGCACAGGCTCATCAGGTTTCTTCCTCTGAAGCAGCCACAGCTAGCAGTGCTCTGCAGCCTGAGAAGCAAGGGGAACCTGTTACTATGGAAACACAGTCCTCACCAAGCTTACCCCTGAGGAAGAGTGTGAGCATTGCTGTGAGCACAGGTAGAATGTCATTCCTTAAGAAAAAAACAGTCATCACTTCATGGATGTTTCTGTGATTTTTGATTGTAAGAGAGGTAACATACTGCAGAAATGCTGAATGTTCAAAAGCGTGCACCTCAATACCAGCACCAGCTGAGTTCTGAGTGTTCTTTGTGAGTTTAGGCTGCAATGGCAGCAATTTCCATCACTGGAAGGAGAGTTATTTTTCTGATAGCTTTAGCAATGTCTTGTTTTTAATTGTTTAAAAAGAAAAATTATTGAAAAAGAAAACAGCCACTTTTTTAATGCACTGTTTCGAAAAGAAATAGCTATTACCTTATCTGATTATCTTAACACAATAAGCAATAAATATATTTATCTGTGACTCAAACAGGTGTATGCATGAAGGAAGACTATTCAGATCTAGCAAGCTTTGCATCTTACTTTAAGGCTACATATTACTGTATTGGTTCCTGTTTAATCTATAGGAAAATATAATTTTAGTAATTTCAAGATGGCCCACTTGTTTTCATCAAGTGTGTTTGAGCATACTTTAAAGTAGCACTCAAGCAGTGTTTTTGCAGTTCTTGGCTGTTCTAAGCCTTAAATCACTTATAAGATGCTGAAAAAAAAATGAATGCAAACAAGTAATTCCTCTAGCTTTACAATACCAAAGGATCTCAAAAGATACCAATGGCTTTCCTAAATGGGTAAATCTCTCTTCTCTTCTAGGTGCTAGCTTATTCTGGAATACATCCTCAGAAAAACAAGATGACACCATACCACAGGGAAAGAAAGAGGATGCAGAGATTTCTAAGGAAGATATAAGCATTTCAATTAATGCTGAACAAGATGCAAGTAACACCAGTATTGCTTCTTCCTTAAAGGTTGTTGACATGCCCAGCTTTGTAGACAGTATTCGTCTTGTGGAAGAAGGAACTCATCAGAATACTCTCCAGTAAGTAACTAGAAATATCTGGTGTTCACATAAGCTGAACTGCCTTTCAGAAGTTACAACCTCTTTGTAGTTCTTTTTTTCAGGAATTATAAATAATCACCTGACTTCAGCTATGTTCTTCCCCTTTGTTTTTTTGATTATGCTTGGAATTGTGCAGCTCGCCAAAACACAGCTGTCTTTAGAGTTTGCACTTATCAGTCATGCACATTTAGCTACTTACCTATCAGCAGCAGCTGATGGCAGGAGCCTTCAGCTTGGAAAACCATGTATAGTGCTGGCAGCATTCCCTTTCTCACCTTAACTCCTGAGCAGAAAGGGGACATTGCTGTAGCTACTTGTTTTCCTCTGCAGCATTCCAAAGCTTTTCAGTTCTTGAGGGGCTTAAGACAAAAAGTTTTTGGTTATGTCTGTCCTCTGAATTCCTCTATGCTTAATTACATTGTATATGCAGGTGCCAACTTCACTGTTTTTTTTTGTTTTTTTTTTTCCCCCACTATTTTCTAAGGTCAGATTCCTCATGTTACAATAACTAATCTGTCTGATTTGGGAGGAAATTTCTAAAATATTTAGTTATCTACTACATCAGTGTTAGTTTTATGTATGGAATAGCTCAACAATTTGGTACTTAATGCTCAGGGAATATTAGTTTATTTTGGGGGGGGGGGAACAAAACCAAAAACAAAGGAGGTGAAATATCCTTCCAGTTAGATTATGTTTCTAAAATAATAATAATATTGGGAAAGATTAATTATAATGCAAGCAGAATTTAAATATTCATATCCTTGATTACAATTTTATCTACAGACTGTCACTATACTGTTACCATGAGTGTTACTGGTACAGATAAATCTTTTGAATATCATATTTTAAAGAAATACAGTCTTAAGGTTCTCTTTAATTTGGATTCATAAACTTGTGAGACAGTTGTGCAAGTGTCTTATAATAATACCCTCTTATATGAGGGTATGCAGCATCACTCAGATTCTTTTGAAGAGGAAGGAGACACTTTTGGGAATGATGATTAATTGTTAATATAACAGTAACTGATAACCTACATTGACTATCTGGCATGTCACGTGATTTAAATCTTATCACTTTCAACACAGGCAGTTGATCAGTTGGGTTCTGAAATTGTGTTATCTTACATTTGTCTCTTGAGGAGACACTGGCAGGGGAAGGAGGGTTGCTTAACAGTCTCTTTGGGATGATGGTACTATTGATGTATCTGATCTCAGAAGGTTTATGAGATGCAGATTCTGGCTAGTGAGAGAGGATGCATTGTTGCTCACTCTAGAATATCTACCCCAGGGTTTTTGAATAAAAAGGGTAAATTATTGTTTTTTCTTTCAGAGTTGTTAGAAATATTTCAGCTATGGGTTTGTTTTCAAGTCATTCATATTCAGTGTGTACTGAATATGTATGTACTTGTAACAGCATCTTTGAGAAGTTCTTATGTGGGCTTTAAACTACCACAGCAATTTTGTTACCAGTTATTTGCTTTGGTTTAAAATAAAGAAATTGAGTAAGTTATTCTCAGAACACATGGAAAACACATTACTCCTGAAGTGCCCATGAAAATACTGAAGACTAATTCCAGTTTTTTAGTGATTTGTTTAATCTGCTTTAAGGTTGTGTCGTCATTGTGTTTTGACTAATCCAGAGAAGCCAATCTTTTGGAAAAACAATGAGGCTGTTGTAATGTTACTCTAGAAGCTGTTTCTTCAGTCCTCAAAAGGCTCCTTGCTGTGGTTGTTCTCTTTCAAAGTCTTAGGCAGAAAACAAATCAAGAAATGCTAGATCCTATTTCCAATACACTTTCCAATATCTTCTCTTCTGGTGTTCACAATAGGAGATCAGGAGTGATATCTTTATCTTCTCTTCAAGGAAACATCTAGTTATGTCATTGGTCTCTTTCAGAACTGGAAATGTCTCCCAAGCACTTGTTCACAGTTCATCCTTAGAGGAAAGTGCTAGCATGTGCTTACAGGAAGAACCAACAGAGGGAGCCAGCAGCCACGTGGTGGCAACAAGTGAGCAAAACCTGGAGCCAGCCATCTCCGTGCTGGCCCGGCATCTGTCAGAGGATCAGAAACTTTATCAGGATTTGCTGGTAATGAATTTAAATTTGATAGTCTGTACTGCATAGAAGTACAACAACACACTGAAGTCACAATGTGGTATTAGCATCACAGAAAACTGTATGCTATTTTCAAGGTCATATGTTACATGCTATGGAAAGCTCTGAGTTTTCAGGTCTTCCCTTTGAGGTTTAAATGGCCATTTTTTACTTTACTCTTCTGTGCATATATGGAGTACCATCTACTGCCAAATTAATTATGTAGTTAGAAGTTGATGTCAGTAGATAACTTTCCCCAGTTAGCCTTTAGAATATCACAATGCTTTACCTTCAAGCCCCTTAAATGGAGGCTTTAATTTGGAACTATGCTGCATTTAAATTGAGAATCGGTGCTTACAGAAAACTTGAAATGTAAGATAGTCCAGTATTATTCTACACTTCTGTGTACACTTTTGTGATATTACTTGATAGTATCTAAGCTGAATATGAGTCCGGTGTATTTGTCAGAATAAGTTGTTAGCTCAGCTAGTTGTACATTGCAAAATAATTGCTTGAAACTAAAACAGAATTGTTTTATGGCAACTCCTAGATGTCACAATTCTGGCAATGTGGGCTCTTACCCTGCTCCCTTTTTTTTTTTTTTCTCTAGGGCCAAGTAAACCATCTCTTAAAGTCTTCAGAAGAACAAGATCACTTTCCTGTAAAAGCAGGATTTGTTAATGATGATGATGCAAAGTATCAAAGTATCAGTGATAGAACAGAAAGGGATTCGGGGACTGACACAGAAGTGGTGGATAAAGAGAGTGTGATTAGTGCTACACTCAAACAGCTGAGAAGTTTTGGAGTGACAATTGAGTCACCCAGCAGAATGAAGAAAAATACACACAAAGTGGAGAATGCCAGGTAAAATACTGACTGTTTTGAGCAGTAATTTCTAGATCCAACCACAAATGAGGATCAGCTTAGTGAGCAAAGAAGGGACTGTATTTGCTGCCAGTGGGGATTATTTGTCAGCTTGTTCTGCATTTCTTACACAAAGATGAAACACTGGCTCATGCTATGGGTATTTCAGATAGGTGTGAGAGCTCTGTTAGCAAATTCAATTTAATGTAACACAAGTAGCCATTAGAGCATCTGGTGGTTCTTAAGTATTGTGTGTGTGGAAGCACATAATTCCTTAGAAAAAATGCTTGAGTAATTTCAGTCCTCTGGGCTATGTCAGAGTATTCCAGAGAGACACCGTTTAAAAACTTGTGAGGCTGAACATTAAGCAGCAGTCATTAGATATTTTTATCACAACCTCTTAACCCACATCTTGCATTTCGCCAGCGTAAGTGAAACTGTTCTCATAACTTCCACATATATTCAAAATGGCTTCTGTCCTAATCACTTTAGATTGTGAATGTTTCGAATTAAAGTAGAGGGAGGCTGTAGTGGCTGGGCAGGGAAGATGCCTTGGTGAAACAAACCAACAAAAGAACAGAAGTAGAATCAAGCAGAGTAGTGTGAGTCTTCAGCTATATATCAAAAGCTGTTTCTAGTTGTACAGTCTCTAAGCTCTTTTCTCTCCATTTCACATTAAGTTCATCAGATACTTCTACGTGTACAAGAAACTAGTATGGCAACCATGAAAATGAATGTGCCTCCGACTGAAGGATGTCTTCAGAAACTAGAACCTTGGCATTGGGGAACATGAGGGGTCCTTGATATCTGTTACTGAATTTGCATCTTCTATTGCAATACAAATTTGGAATTAGATGCTAGCACCCAGAGCCCAGAGTTAGAGGCATGTAACTTCTCATTTAGCAATGAGAGTTGGCCAACAACTCAAATCAGCTGTGAACAGACAGCTCTGAAATGTGCTGGAAGTTGGTTCTTAATAGCAGGGCTGTGGTTAGCACTGAATCAGGAGGGAATATCACCAGTGTTCCAAGATATTGTTTGAATGCTATCAGTGTGACTAGCTGCAGAGATGCTCTTTAGTATATGCACAATGTCTGGTCTCAGCACTGCACAGTCTGAGCTGTAATGTTTGGAAAGGAGGAGAAATCAATACAGTGAGCAAAATAATTTATCAGATCATTCTGTGAAATGCATACTTCTTTCCTTGTAAATCTGAACTAATTTTTTGATGCTTTATTTCAGCATTTTAGCATGCATAAATCCTGAAGCAGTGGTTCCTGGACTAAATTACATGTCGTTTGCCAATGTTAGCATGTGTGGCTTAACTCCTAATGTAGCTGATCTCAGCATGGAAGCAAATGCTATAGCACTCAAGTATCTCAGTGAAAATCAGTTATCTAGGCTTTCTCTCAGTCGCTCGGGCCAAAATCTTCCTACTGATTGCTGTTTCCAAGACATCTTGCATTCAAATGTGGAAAAGAGCATGGTGGGTCTTAGCTTGATTTCACCCAACAATATGTCATTTGCAACCAAGAAGTACATGAAACGGTATGGACTGATACAGGGAGGGGACAGTAGTGAAGATGAAGAGGAACTGCATGTTCAAGATGGCAATTACGGCACTGTCGAAAGTGAAAGTGTGCTGCACAAAAACTTTACCCCTCTGTTGGATGGCTTAAACCACAGGACTGAATTATCCAAAAGAGCTGATGAAGGAACCCCCATTCATCTGAAAAGTCCCAGCAGAGAGTTGACTGCTAATGCTTTTCTGCCAGAATTGAACAGCCCTATATTAAGAAACATTACAAATGAAATCTTTCTTCCCAGAACAGAACAAGCAAATGAAAACTCAGTTCAGATTTTAAAGGATTTGAAGTCAAAGCACAAATTGTTACCTGGGAAGGTTGAATTCACCGAACAACCTGGCAGGAAAGGTGGAGGAGATATTCAGGTATTTGCTGGAAATCTGCATGCTCCAGCCCTTGGAACATTAAGCCAGTCAAACAGTGTGAATTCTGTTGGCACCATTCTTGATGTGAAGCAACTCAGGCAGCTGCCGAAGTTGTTCTGAGCATCTCCCCAGATAAGTAGCAGATACTGTTTCAAATCTAGAAGGGACCCCTTTGTAAAAGACTACAGGAAACCAAGGATTAAGTTATCTTTTTATGAGGTCACTTTATTGTAGCAACATAAAGCTTGCAAAACTGAGCTTTTGGTTCAGGTTGGTGACAGCCACTTCCAGGTGTCTGCAGTATGTTTGCACTTTTGTTTACAGTTAAACATGATTTTGAAGTATCTAAAAGATGAATTGACTTGAACCCAAGATGTCCTCTTTGCTCAGCTATAATAATGCTGCTTGTTTTTACATGCTTTTTAATTGACTTTTTTTTAAACAGTGACTTTTACTTGCTTGTGCCAACTGTGAAGCCATAGATCCTGTGTGGCATAGCAGGGGTAATGGAGCAAAAGTACCAATTTCCAGAAGCTTTGTTTGGATTGCTGTGTGGGGTTGTGTTGGGTGGGAAGGGCCATGTAATCGTGGCTTTACTGTGCTTAAAATTACTTTGATTTCAGGCAAGATGACACATGTAACAGACTGTATCATGGGATCTTATAAGGAAATTGGAAAAACCAGCACTTTTATCGTTCTTGTGATTTTATTTTGTATGTTTTCTATTTATTAAAACGTACATATTGCTCATGGAGGTCCAAGTTTTCATTAAAAAAATAACAAATAAAACTACCTTGAGTTGTTTGTGATATTTATGCATGAACTTGCCCATTCCCTGTTGTTGTGTGGCATGGCTGACAAAGTCACTGTCACTTGGTATTCAGCAATTCCAATATTGGGTGGTGGGATAAGCAAAAATAAGAAAAAAAATTGTTTTACTTTTGTTCCTTATTAACATACAGATTAGTCTGTGAAAGCATTACAGTCTATTACTGAAATTGCTGTTACAGGATTATGGAAAAGGGCTGTTCCACAAGTTGAGGAATTCAGTTATCAATTAACTGTTCCCTTTCTGTTAACAGTTTGACTCCTGGTTGAATTTTTAGGTATAGTAGACATGTCTGTGCTTTCTTTTTTTCCTGCTGGAAGTCCCAGGTGTTCAGTGCTGGACTTGATAGCTCTGCTTCCTTTGGCAAGTCCTGCCTAAGGCCACAGCTCAGCCAGCATCACTGTGGTGTAACACAGCTCCCTTCTGACCTCCTGGACTTGGAAATGAGACAGCAGCAGTGGAAGTTGCAGTTTAGTCCAGTTCCCACCATCCATAACATTCAGCCAGAGCTGAATGACAGCAGAGCCATCTGTTTTCACCCTGGCTCTGCTACACCGACATGCTTTGAGTTTAAAACAAAGTTTGTTCAGATCTGTGTTAATGATGGCATTGTCTCAACAGAAGTTCAGCCTCTGCTGCTGACCTTGTCTTTCCTGCTCACGGGGTGTTAAACTAGAAATTAAAGCAACCCACGCTAATGTCCCAGGTCTTTCCTGTTCAGATCCAAAGGACTACAGTAACTCTGTGAGTTCATGGTAGGTTTGAGTGTGTAGTAATTGCTAACTCATTAATTATACCAGCAAGAGTATTTTCTAGCATCTACCACCTCCTAGGCCATTGTGAGCTAAAGAACTGGGGAAAAAAAAGCCACTTGCTATTTCAGAGCAAGGCTAACTGCCTGGATGTGGAACAGAAAATAGCAGCTTGTATTGAGCTGTGTCAAAATTCCTTTCCTTGCAGCAGCCTCTGCCATCAATATGGATATTTGCTGCCTTTCAGGAGCTATTACTTTCCTATGCTGAGAAGCAGGGAGCCTGTGCCATGCTCAGTCTGGTGGCTTAGATCCAGGCCTGCTGTCTGGCAGCCTGTTTTCTGCTGAAGTAGTCAAAAAATAGTTAAATGTTTTTGGACATTCCACTGGGATGAATGAGGCAATTCATACCTCTGAGCTATTGTTGTAGGGTTTTGTTCTTTGTTTCCTATTGTAAAATATCTGGAAACACAGGAAGATGACAGTTGTATTGGTTAATATTTTGAAGACTTTCTTCAGATGCTTGAGAGCTAGAACCAACGGGAAAACAAAAGCCCAACTGCTTGCCCACAGCTCGGGATGAGGGTGTGGTATTGCATTGAGTTACACAAATCATGTCATGCTGATGGCAAATGGACTGAGCTGTTAATTTACCAACCAGCAAAATAAACCACCCTTCCCTAAAACTGTGTTCCCTTTCACAACTTAGTGCTGAGCAACTGGAGGATGCTCTGCTTTGGAGCTGTAACCAAGCTCAAGCTTTGTGTTTTGTGGGGAGGGGGCAACCCTGTTCGAGGCTTTACAGTTCATAGAGTCACAAAATGGCTTGGGTAGGAAGGGACCTTATGGATCATCCAATTCCAACTCCCTACTGTGGGCTGGTTGCCCCCCATCAGCACAGGCTGGTGGCTGATCCAACCTGGGCTGGATGTCTCCAGGGAGATGGGGCACCCCCAGCTGATCTGGGCAGCCCCTTGTCCAGCGAGGGTCCCTCACAACCCCGTGGATGCAGCTCCCACCCCTCCGGGGGGCTTCTGCTGGGGGCGCGCAGAAGATGCTCGCCTTCCTAATCTCCCCAGCCCAGCCCCGGCTGTTCTATCTTTAACACTTCCTGTTGGTTAGAGGAGCCGGCTTGAAAATGGTCGTGTTTCCTGGCTGGAGGCACGGCGGAGCTCTTCAACGCGTCGTGACCGGCCCCGCCGCACGCACCCGCACACGCACTGCCGGCATCGTGAGCGCACGGCGACCCGGGGGGCGAACCTCTCCCACGGCCGCATCCAGAGAGGGAAGCTGAGAAGGGAAGGAGTGAAAGGAAGAATAACAGCTCCGGCATTTCCCCGCTCGAGCCCGTGTGCGTGCAGGTGGCGGGGACACAATAGCGACCCGCGCAACCCCAGCGCATCGCCGCGGGCAGGTGCGGCCGCTCCGCCCGACCCGTCCGCCCCTTTTCCCCCGGAGATGACACGGCGGAGGTTCACTCTCCCGTAGAGGGGATCGAGGCCCTTCCCGAGACAGGTCCAGCCTCGATCCCGGCCTCCCCGTGCCATTTCTTTTGTAATTTCGTTGATTTTCGAGGGATCGAAAATCGCTCTCTGCCGCCGTCTTTAGGACAGATGGACGTAGAGACGACGAATGGCACCCTCTGCCATCCCTATCTCTCCCCGCTTCCTCCGCCGGGCAACGTGGAGAGGTGCCCTCATGTTCCCCTACCCCCACCCTCGTACCCCAGAGCCCGCACGGGGAAGGTCGGCACGGTTCCCATTCCCCCGTTCCCGTTCCCAGCTTCTCGTCCCCACGAACCCCAGCCCCGACGGTTGCACTGCCGGGTCCGGCTCTTTCCCCCTTTCTCCCTTTTCCCCTTTTTCCTGCATGCTCTGCCCTGGACCCTGAGGCGCTGAGTTCTCCCAAACTCTCCCATCCCAAATTTCCCGATGTCGAGCCGTGCCCGATCCGTCCCCATTCTCCGTGAGGGATCCTCAGCCACCCCAATCCAGACGCTAATAAAGGGCACCCTCACTGCATCGGGGGATGAAGGCTGCAGATGGGGCCAAAGAAGCCCACACCCCTTCCCTCTCTCTTTCAGCATCCCCACCAATTTATTTTGGCTCATTAAATTTAATTAAGAACGGAGGATGTGCTCCATCAAAAAAAAAAAAAAAAAAAAAAAGCACCCAACAAAATGCAGGGGGCAATAATAACCTCTGAGAGGACTAAAATAAAGAATCGAATCGCCATTCAGACTCGGGCAGCACAGTGCAATGTTTTATTACTTTTTTTTTTTTTTTTTTTTTTTTTTTGCAGTGTCTTTTTAAGAGCATCTAAGCACACACACATAAAAAGCTAGAAGGCATTCCGGAGTTATTCCTATGCATATCCCTGCAATAATTTTCCGCTTTCCTTCGATAAAATTGCCAAATAATAATGAATCATTTCATAAATAATGGGTTTAGAAGCTTATCAGGGCAGGCGGGCCACTGCTGGGGCTTTATCTCTCTCGGCCACATTGCAGTAGTGTTCCGCTCTCCATACTAAATAGGAAACTGGACGTGATGTGGAATTAGAGCCTCCCCAGCTGAAGCCACCCCACATTACTACAAATATAGCCGCCATGCGTAGGCCACAAAATGGCTCCACTCACTTTTCCCAATGAAAAGCAAATGGTGAGTGGGGAGGGATCGGGCCCCGCAGCGGGACGGAGCTGGAGGGGGGCACGATGGGGGGGCGGAGGGGGGAGGGGGGGATTTTTGGGGCACGCAGGGGTCTTCTGCAGTGTGTTAAAGACAGGTGAAAGGGGGGAAGAAAAGAAACAAATGCGGCTTTTCCACGGTTGGGCTTTATTTTTTCTGTTGTTCTCCTTTGATGGGGGTGGGGGGGGCTGAGGTTGCCTTTCCTTGCTGTCCCCCCACCCGGGTGCGTCTCCCACTATCGGGGCTCTGTGGGGCCATGCAGGGCGATGCAGGGCGATGCGGGCAGATGCCCACAGCCCCGCCGGGGGGCCCGACATGAACCGACCGTCGGACGGCTCATGGGGGGTTTCTCCCCACCCCGTTCCCCATCCCTTTCCCGCTCCGTTTTGGGGGGTAATTCTCCCCACCAAGGGCACAGGGAGAGGTGCGCGGCCGGGGTGGAAATTTCCTGCCCATCCACGGCCGCAAAACAAAAGGAGTTGGAGGCGAAGAACAGAACGGGCGGGGATTTCATACCACCCCCCCTCCCCTCCATTTTCTCCGTACATTTACCCCAAAACGAAACGAAAGCCCCGCAGATTCGGGGCCTTTTTTTTTTTGTTTATTTCGTTTTAACGAAAAAAAAAATACAAAAACAAACAAACAAAAAAACAGCCCAGAGGAGAAACCGACGGGTTTATTCCGTTGTTTAACGAAGAGCAAAGCCCCCGCTCGGCATTTCGCTGCGGGGGGGGCACGGACGCCTCTCTCCTTCCTGTTGATCGCAGCGGGGCCGCTCCGGGCGGACACCGGCCCCGATCCTCCGCGCTGTGCTCCGCGGTCCGGGAGCGGCCCCGCCGCTATTCGCGTCCCCATCGGAACGAACCAAAACCCCGACCCCATCCGGAATCTCCTTTCCGAGGAGACAAATCCAAAAAACCACCTGATTCAGCCCCAAAATATGTTTTTTTTTTTTCTTCTCCTTTTTCTCTCTTTTTACTTTTCTTTATTAATGCTTCACCTAGATATATTATTTTTTTCCCCCCTAAATAAACCAGCTTTCCCCTTGAATTTATCATCCTTTTCCCCCATAGACACCAATTCTCCCCGCTCCGCACAGGTTCGGGCCGCGTACCGGGGCCGTGCGCGGTGTCCCCGTCCCCGCGGTGCCATTCCCGTGTCCCCCAGACCCACCCTCTCTCTCCCTTTCTCTCCCCCCCTTCTCTTCCTCCCAGGCTTTAGCAGTTTTATCCCGTTGCGGGTGTCCTTCCTCTCTGTAAAATCGTAAGTACCTCGAGGTGGGAGGAGTAAATTCAGCCTGACACTGAGAGCGCTTTTGTTGAAACGGGAGAGACTCGCGGTGTCCCTACTTAAATATGACACATGTGAGTAATCTCTTCCTATACAATATGGGAATAGGCAATTAGATGCTCTTTCTGGAGGGCTGGCAGGGCGGGGGGAGGCAGTAAAGCTTTGGGTTGAACGGTTGATATTATTCTTACTATTATTATTATTATTATTATAGATGGAGAGATGTGAACAAAATAATAATAATAATAATTTTCTCTGGGGTTGGAGCAACCCAGAAATGAGAATAATTGACCCAAAGAGAAGCAGCGGGGATGTCGGGAATGGGATCTGTTCCGTTATTTATAAGGAGAGAAAAAAAAGAAAGAAAGAAAGAAAGAGCTAGGAGGGCGGTGGGAGAAGGAGAAACAGTCGCGATAGCGCTGCCCGCCCTCGGCTCTGTCGCGATAGTTTCGTTATTGGGGAGAAAGAAGGGAGCGGGGCCGCAGACAATTGCCGTGTGCGGCCGCGGTTGCTCCGAGCCGGGGCCCCTTCCTCCTTCCTGCTGAGCTCATGGGGGTGCGGGGCTTTGTGTGAGCGCTTCTCCCCCCCATTCGGCAGCGCCTGGAGCTTGGTTTCCATGTTGAAAATTAATAACAATTATTCTAATACGAATAAAGTACAAATTCCCCCCCAGTGGGCCGAAATGTCCTCGAAACGGAGGTGGGAGAACCCCAGGCCTCCTTCCAGGTCCCTGTGCCTGTGGGTGCGGTGCCCCCAAGGGTCATTGGTACAGGGGTACAATGGAGGGTAGGGGGGAGGAGGGGGTTCTTGCCGTGACGTCACGCCGCCGTTGCGTGACGTCACGCCGCCGAAGCGGGGAGACCCCCCTGTCGGATTCGGGCCGCCCCGAGCGCTGCTCTCCCCGCAGGACGATGGACAGGCCTCCCGCCCCGCCGCCCCCCAGCAGTGACCCCCGCGATGCCCGCCGCCACGACCCCGAAGCGGAGCCCACGAGCGAGCCCGACAGCAGCCGCGGGGGCATGGAGCCGCCGGCCGAGCCCCAGCTGCTGCTCAACGGGGCGGCCAAAGAGGCGGGCCGACCCTCCCCCGGGCCCCCCGCCGCCGCCGTGCCCGTCATCGAGCTGGTGCGCCGGGGGGGCTCATTGGACATAAAAAGCCGAGAGGCGGCGGGGGAAGCGATGCAGAGAGCGCCGGGCGCCGAGCCGTGCCGCGCCGCCGAAGCCGCCTGCGAAGCCCGCATGGTGCAGCTGAGTCCCCCCGCGCTGCCGCTGCAGCCCCCCGGCAGGGCCATGCTCTACAACCTGGGCCAACCGCTGGGCACCATCGGCAGGTCCGTGCCTCCCCCCGGCCCCCACCGCGTCCCCGGGGCTGAGGGGAAGGAGAGGAGGGAAGGGGGGTTGTTTTGGGGGGTAGGGAGAGGGCTGAGTCATCACCCCCCCCAAAAAAAAAAAAAGCAAACTTTGCAAAGGAAGAAAGGGGAAAAAAAAAAAAAAAGCAAAAGAACGGAACGAAAAACCGTCGTTCCTAGAGGGGGGAAAAAAAAAAAAAAGCCTGGCAAAAATACCACGGGCTGAGCCGATATGGGGCGTTTCGCTGTGGTCCTGTAGTGGAGTATAGGGAGGAAAGAGGCTGAGTGTGAGGTGCTCCTCGAGCTCCTCCGCTCAGTCCCAGAGACGGAAAATGGCCCCACGAGCACAACGCGGATCCCACGCCGGGCATCCCTTCCATCCCCCGTGGGCTGCGGGGTCCGTGAGCATCTCCCGAGAGGTCGGGGCCGCCTCACGCCGCTCTGCTTCTGTTTGCAGTGGGTTCTTCGGCGAGCCGGACTCCTTCTCCATGTACGGCAGCAACCGGGTGAAGAGGAGACCGTCGCCCTACGAGATGGAGATCACCGACGGTGAGTACGGGGAAAAGCCCAAAATGTGACGGGGGAATATCGTGGGATGCGGCGGGTGTCCCCAGCTCGGGGAAGGCACAGCACAGGTCTGTGTGCAGTGTGGGTGGTGCCACTGGGCTGGGGGCAGCCGGCCTCACAGGTCGCTCTGAGATGAACGGCAGAGGAAGGCACCGTGTGTTGAGGTGTGGGGTCCGACGGTGGGGATGGGTTGGTGGTTGGACTGGATGGTCTTAGAGGTCCTGCCCAACCTCAGTGATTCTGTGGTTATAGAAATTGACATGCTGTATTCTAATAAGTAGACGATATTTGATCGTATCCAAATTTTTGGCTCCAGGTGTGTACAGGTAGGGCTGAATCTTGTAGATCCCACCTCATGTAAATTTGCAAAATTAGGAGCAGTTGGAGGGGGAATACAGGTACCGGATGGTGCGATCTGGACATGAGGAGTCAGCACGTGTCACCACTGCTGGGCTGTCCCTGTGCTCCTGTGGGCTCAGATGGTGATGGCACACTGCAGGGAATGGGGACAGCACACAGTGATGGTGCCACCCTGTACAAAACACAGACACAGGGAGACAGAGATGTGAAAAATTATCTGAGAGGATATTCTGTAATTTTGGAAGCTCGTCTTCTTGCTGGCTTTCCTCGGATCTGTAATTACAATTACAATTTAACAAGCATTGATCAACCCATTGATTGGAACAAAATCCAGGCATAAGTTTGCAGCCAACTGCTTGGCTTAATTAGGGGGGTTCTTTATGAGAAATGAAGTTTTTCCATTATAATACAGCTAAGGGGTATTTTAAATTTCTCCACTGCTTGACATACTTTGCCCCAAACCTGTTCTTTTAAAAATATGGTTAATTCAGTTGCTGGCACTGATGCAAGAATCAAACACTGTAGTGGTGTCAGAATTTGTTATATTCTTGATCTTGTTTGGGGAGGAAAATGGACAGGTCAGTGTTTGATTTCAGCATTTTGTGAGACATTGCCTCTTAGTAGGCAGCTTCCTGTAAATGAGATGTGCTGCAAGCCTGTGAAGATGGAGATTTTTGGATAATTAACACATTTCTTTTCCTTATTCCTTTATGAGTGCAAAAAGATGTTAAGCTGCACCTCCTAAATCAAGGACTGTGTGCTCTGTTTTGTCCAGAAAGAGCATTTAAGAGCAGGAATTGTGTTGCTGTAGGAGATGGCAGCACGTTGTCACTGCACTCAGCAGAGCCAGGCAGCTCTGGTGGCTGAGGTCCCTTTGGTCCCCACAGAGGAGAGACAGTGTGTGATGGGAATCCCACAGCCCATCCTTCAGGGTGCAACTCATCAGCATGTTAATTGAACACTTTGCTTCAACATCTGTGGTGATTTTCACCGCCTGTGATGTTCCCTATTCCTTCCAGCATGGTCATTCTCCCATAGTTTCTTGTGGTTGCTGTGTCCTTCCATTGTCAGTGTGTCCTGGAGATGAGGATGGAGATGGCTGTTGGCAGTGTCTCCTTCCACACACTGCTTTCTGTTGATCCAAGGACCTGCAGTCCTGATTTTACTTCTGGGCAGACTTCTGCTTTGGGTCTGTCCCAGCACAGAGGCAATGTCACCTCGTGCTATCAGGAGCTGACTCGATGAGCTGAAAGGAGAACCGATAGAGGGAGAACGGATGATTTCATTCCTGAGTGCAGGAACACCTCCTCTGTTACATGCCCTACAGGAATATGGCTGTAAAATTAGAAATTTAGCTGGCATCGACAATAGCAGAGCCAAATGGTCATCTCTGGCAATTGGGAAACCCTTCTCCAATCAGTGTCTGATGGAAAGTCCTTGCACTGATGGACAAGAGGTGCAAGAGCTCCATGGGCCAATTGGAAAGCTGCTTTGTTCTCTTCCCATGGTCACCCTTGAGGCAAGGACACTGCTTCCACTGTGTTACACCAGGGTGAGTCCTGTTGCCCCATCACATGAAGCACCTGGAGGGTTGGTGATCTCTGCCAACTCCTGATCCTGGTAGAAGGATCAGGACAGAAGGAAGATCTTGGGATCTCAGAGCTGTTAAAGCCTCAGCTCAGGCCAATTTCCCCCTGTCCCAGCGATGTGACTTTTGGGAGAGAAAAATAAAGCCATCTGGTGAGCTAGCCTTTTAATAGAATCTTTGTTGCTGAGATACCCTAAAAATACACATAATGGTGAGCCATTCTCCTTGGAGAGCTAAATTTAGGCATCTCAGGGGGAATCTAGAAAGGTGCAACTCAACTTTTCCCTTCCACTGAACAGGAGCTGTGACTGTTGTGGCTCCTTGGTTAGCTTCCTGCTAGTTGGAAACTCCTGGTCCTGTGCCTTGATGATGGGACTAAAATAAATAGACTAGCTTGAGAAATGAGCAAACTATTAAATGACCAGAGAGATGGTGGAGATTGAAGAACCATGGAGATGGGAGACTGAGGGACACGGTTTTGGACACTATTGGTGATAGTTGGATAGTTGGACTGGGTGACCTCAGAGATCTTTTCCGACCTTAACGATCCTGTGATTCTATGATTCTATGACCCGCTGGGCGCTGCTAATAACTGTGTGCCATTGCAATTGCAGGTCCTCACACGAAGGTGGTCCGCCGCATTTTCACCAACAGCCGGGAGAGGTGGAGGCAACAGAACGTGAACGGAGCCTTCGCAGAGCTCCGCAAACTCATCCCCACGCACCCGCCCGACAAAAAGCTGAGCAAGAATGAGATTTTGCGCCTGGCTATGAAATACATCAACTTCCTGGCCAAGCTGCTCAACGACCAGGAGGAGGAAGGAAACCAAAGGGGCAAAGTGAACAAAGACTCGGGGATAGTTCAGGAAGACCTCCTGCAGGACATGCTGTCTCCGAACTCCAGCTGTGGAAGTTCTTTGGATGGAGCAGCGAGCCCGGACAGCTTCACAGAGGAGCACGACACGCTCGACTCCAAGCACGCACGGAACCTGCACCATGCCATCCTCCCCGTCGAAGGCAGCGCGCAGCGGTGATGACCCCAAATCACTCCCCGAGCGCTCAGAGGGTGGCGAGACCCAGGCGGGTGGGATTTGGGACCTTTGTCTCCCCGTCTGCTCGGCTCAGGTTGGCACGTTGGCCAACAGGATGGGACGGACGCTCGGTGTTTAGGTACGGGATCGTACGAAGAAGAAAAGCGTTGAAGTCGTCTTCGTTGTACATACTGACTCTGAGGATGGGAGGGGAATGCAGCCAGCACCCCTCCAGCATTCTGAGGGTTTTTTGGACCGCCTGAGGGTCACTTCTCAAGCAGTCGTGAGGCTGGGACGTGAGGAATGAAACATAGGGCTGTGGAGCACAAGCAACTGGTCCGAGCCACGCTCCTGTTGACCAAGACCTTCTGACTGTATCTTTTTAACGAGGTGAAAAATGCCCTCAGCAAAAGAACTATTAAAAGGATTGAGACTTTCTTTCTCCTCTCTCTCTCTCCTTTTTTTTTTTTTTTTAATTGTTTTTGTCCCCTTTCCTTTCTACCTAAAGTTGGATTGTTTGGGGTGTTGTATTTATGACGTGAGATTCCTTCTGTTCAACGCCATCATGCAGTATCCACTGAACATAAAGGTACATAGGGTGTTCTGTGCTCCCCACCGCCCCCTGAGCCCCCAACCCTGTGCTGTAACACAGCGGGTGAGGCCCTACAGTGGTCTCCTCAAGTTTCCCCAGAGGTTTCAGTAGGGCTGAGCTTCCCTCAAGGAAGATGATACTCAGAATTGGTTAAGGAGAGAAAAGGTGACCAGTGATGCCTCCCCTTGAACCAGGGACTTTTTCGAATGAAAAAAAGCGAAAGGAATCAACGATGCATCAACAGTTTGCGTGTACATAGGGTTATAAAAGGGTTTCGGTGGTATGCTTTGAACTTTTTGGTTTTGTTGTGTGAAAGTAGTGGTGGTAGTGCACCTCTGCAAGCGCCCACAGACACAATTAGACAGTAGGAGGACCTTGATTGGCTGAGGCTGGTAGGAGCCACAGCCTTGCTGTATCTCCTGGCACGGGGTGAATGCTAAGAGCACTGATGGGATCACCTCAAGGGCTTAGGGGCTGCAGAGCTGGTTTGGGACCAAGTGTCAGTGCTCTGTGGTTCCTCTGTTTCTGGTTCCTTCATGCGTGGAGGCTCCAAGGCAAAGAAATTGCAGTGTTACACCACAACCCAAACATGTCCTTCATAAGGGTAAAAGCCTCTGAACTTGGTTTTAGGGCCTCTTGTAAATAATAGGCTGAGACTTTTCTCAGCATGGAGCAGGTGCATTGGGTGGGATGTACTCCCAGCCCAAGCCAGGGTTTCGAGCTCAGCCTCAAAATGTCAGAAACCAACAGCATCCCCCAGTGTGTAGTGGGGAGAAGGAGGACAATGCCCTCCTGTATCCAGACCCTGTGTACAGCGACAGCTTAAGTGAAGGAGTTACCATGGGGCAGTGCTGAGCACGAGGGGCTGCTGTAGTCACTGTTGTCCCTGGGGATGGGCACCTGATCGGTGACCTTGGGAGGGCGGGGGTCTCATTCACTTTTTGTCAAACTATTGCAAGAAAAAAACCCCACCAACACTCTGAGATTCCTCATTCCCCAGAATTCTGGTTGTTTTTTGTTTTGTTTTTTAATTTCTCCCTTTTTGGTAGCTGAACAGTTGGCCAATGGTACAACCTCCTCGGTCCCCACACGCACACCTGCCCATAGCACGCTGCCGTCCTCCCGGGGTATGTACAGTTGTCCTTTAATCGTGATTGAATGGTACATTTCCCCCACCCACCCACCCACCTTCCCCCCTGCCTGCTTCACGTCTCCATGTGTGGAACATCGCCCCGGTTCTGTTGGAACAGCACTGCTGCTCAGTGTCGTACCGTGTGATTGAATTCTCTCTCTGCCATTATTTTCTCTCCCATTCCCGTCCCTTTCTCTGCCACCCTCCCTTTGGCTTTCTGCATTTTTTCAGCAGAAACAAGTTAACCAGACCCGGTACCCTGACTCTCGACCCACTGTGGATGTGCTATTTAGAAAACACATTTGTTGTAATGTGTGTGTATATATAAATATATATATATAATGAATATATCAAGAATATTTCTAAATAAAGTTTTACAAAGCAGCCTCCGCTCGCTTTCCTCTCTCCCCCTCCTCGCACCCATTGGCAATTCAGCTCTGTGCCCAGCTGGGAAAAGCTGCCAACAGCCAGCAGATCCCTTGCAAAACCATTTCCCCATCCTGAAAGCAGGAAGGAAGCGGTGGTGTGGAGCAATCCCCCGTGTTGGGCGGGCGCCTGGGCACTGCCACCTGCTGTGTGCATGTCCCCAGAGGTCCCTCAGTTGTGGCCTTGTCCCTCTTTTGGGGACGGGGCTGCTGGGGACAATGCTGCTCTGCTCAGAGCTGAGCAGTGTTTGGCTATGGCTCAATAGGCAGCAATAGGCAACGGTGGGTAGTTATAGGAATTCTTCCTTTATTTTAATAAAAAAAAAAAAGAAACGAATGTCAGAGCCTGGTGCACACTAAAAAACAGTTGAGCTGGTGACATCAGTCATTTATATACATATATATAAGTGTATATTTATATATACATAAATATAAATCATTAATAGGCAATATTAAAGATGGCATAAATACACATATAGGCTATGTTGAAGATGGCATATATACACATATACATCATTTATAGGCTATGTTGAAGGTGAATGCCTGCAGCATGCCACAGGCGTGCTGTGAGCAGGAGGACAGCACTATTCCCTTCCATCCCTATGACTTTGGCAGTTGCCATCAGGGTGGGCAGAGCCCCAGAGTTGAGGCGTTGGGTGTTATCTGTTACCAACCCCATCACTGCTGCACAGATGTTCCAACCCCATCCCCACTCTGTCCCGGATGGAGCTGATAGCTCTCGCACCCTTTATCTCTCCCTCCCACATCCTATTCTGCTCCCTGCCCAGGACAAGTTTCCCTCTTCCTCCCCCTTCGTGCAGCCTTTGAATGCACCCAAGGTGAGTTTATAAGCACTCCCTATGTGTTTACACTGAATATTCAGCTCTATGGAAAGTGCTGGGAAGGAGTGATGCCAATCCTTCACTGTGTCACCCCTGATGCTCCCACTCCCGGTGGAAAATTCAATTTATCTTTCAGCATTTGTTAATTTTATTTGTTTACAATGGTGTTTCTTTGCAACACTGCAAAGAAAGTGATGAACACTGTCCCAGCCCCAAATATTTTCTGTATTTGGGAAAAGCTCCTTAGGGCCAACCCTTGCACAGAGGACAATAGGCTGGGTGCTATGGGTGGCTCTGGTCCTCAGACCTGGGTTCACCACCATTGGTGTCGGATGGAGCCAATTGGTTATGGACATTATCTTCAGAAACGATGGGGATTTTGATCCATCTTTTACTGCAGGGAATTTTTTGGCGAATCATAGGGTGGCATTGAAAGGTATTTTGTTCATTCACCTTTTTCCTGTGCCCCTGGTCATACGAAGGCTCCCAGGGGCAGAAAATCCCCTGGTCACGTTGTGGTTCTGCAATGGCTGTGGCACAGATGAAATTAGGAAGGAGAGGAAGTGGCATTTAGATAAAATTGAATTAAAACTATAAGAAAAGAGAAGGTGGGAGGAGCACGTGTTTAGAGCCAACAAAACAAGAAACCAAAAAGCAAAATCACCCCAAATTTGTGCAGCTTTCATTGTCCAGTCTCATCATCTGACTTTAATTACAACCTTTTTAGGAAAGCTATGCTTCAGGGCAGCCTAGACTGGGAAAAAAAGCAAGTACCTGCATTACTCAGTGCCTTCCCACATTATCAGATTAAAATATGCTCACGGAACAACAGGCCTCAAATATTCCCACCCATGCAGGCGATGGGAAAGCTTCACCTTCATTATTAGCAGCCATTGACAACTGGGAGCAGCAATTTATTGCTGGCAGAGCTGCTCTCTGCTCATCCCTCGGCTGCCAGGGTTCACACAAAGCCACACAAAGGCTGCGGGTGCCCAGGGGACCGCATGCTGTCACGGGCAGAGCCGTCCTCCTCCCATCCCTCCCCTGCCTGCCTGGTTCTCCTATCTCTCCCTTTGCTTCTTGCTGCCCGACACCTGAACACCACTTGGGGCTCACTGAGTTGTCACAGCCCTGGATAAGGCTCACGGTGATGGCCAACCCTATTAGGAATGAAGGTGGGGATGCTCCAAAGCACACGGGGCTCCAAGGAGCCTCACGTCAGGGGTCCTGCCGTCGTCTCCAGGTTTGTCACCCCTCGGACACATCGATTTTTCCTCTCTCCTCGAGCTATTCTGAGACGCCCCAGTGACCTTTCGGGGAACAATTTACCATTGTGTTTTGGTGAAGCCCGGCCTCTATTTTTACACTCTGTTTTGCTGATGCGGGCAAAGGGAGCGAGACGGGAATCCAGCAGGAAATGGGAGGGAGCGTCTGGAGCGCAGTTCAATCTGCCCCGGCCCTTTGATGTGCCGGGACTGGGGCCGGGCCGGGCCGGGACAGCTGCGGGGATGGGGCTACGAGACCCAGGGGGGCTTCGCTCGTGTCCCTTCTAGCACTCCACGTGGATCGGCTTAGGGGAGAAGTTTTGTACTCAGGGTGTGATGAGTCCCTGGCACAGCTGCCCAGAGAGCTGTGGGTGCCCCATCCCTGGAGGTGCTCAAGGCCAGGTTGGATGGAACCTGGCAGCCTGAGCTGGTGGGGACACCCAGCCCACGGTAGGGGGTTAGGCTGGGTGTGCTTTAAGGTCCCTTCCAACCCAAACCATTCTGTGATTCTGTCACTCAAACTGCGTGGGATGATTCTTTCACGCTACCCTGTATGTCCACAGGGTCCAACCTGTCTCCTATCCCATCTCCCATCACCCATCTCATAACCAGTGCCGATCTCACTCACATACGGCGCTCGATGCCCGCACTTTTGCACGCGCATCCTTCGCTGCCGCCTCCCCGGAACGGGCTCAGGGCACTCCGCGTCGCAGATAAGCGCTGCATCAAAGCTACCGCAGCGCACCCGCTTCCTGCCCTCCGGCGGGGCCGGGACCGGCGGTGCCGCTCGGGGCTGCGGCTGCTGCCGGGCCCTGGGCCGCCTCCAGCCGCCACTACCCCGAGCCGCCGGCAGAGGGCGCTGCGGGACGGCCGCAGCCACGGCCCGGACCCGAGCGGGCGGGGGCTGCTTCGTGACGGCGGCCGGGGCTGCCGGCGCTGCCCGGTATCTTAACGGCTCGTCTCATCCCTTTCTTTCCTCTTTCCCCGTTTCCGTTTCTCTTTTTCCCATTCTCTATTCCCTTCCCCCTTAACCTATTCCCCTTCTTCCTTCTCCCTTTCCCTTCTTCCTTTCCTCCTTTCCCCATTTTTCCTCATTCCCTTATTCCTTTCCCCCCTTTTCCATTTTTCCTCATTTCCTTTCCCTTTTTCCCCTTTTCCTCTTTCTTATTTTAATTTTCCCGC